CCGCGGGCCCTGCGGGGCTGGGGGAGCGCCAGGAAAGCGCAACACCCTCTCGGCTCTCTTGAGCTCAGCTTTATTTCATAGAATTGTAGAGTGGTTTGGGGTTGCAAGGGACCCTGCAGATCATCTGGTTCCCTGGGGTAGGCGGTAGGTACACCTGACACCAGACCAGGTTGCTCAGAGCCCGTCGAGCCTGGCCTTGAACACTGCCAGGGAGGGGGCACCCACAGCTTCTCTGGGCAACCTGTGCCGGGGCCTCACCACTCTCACAGTAAAGAATTCCTTCCTTATATCTAATCTAAATTTACCCTCTTTCAGTCTAAAGCCATTACGCCTTGACCTATTGTTGTCCCACAAAATGGGTTCATTCACCCAGTGTGCAATAAGCCAATCTCACAGAGCGAAGATAGCTGTTTATTTGATGTCTGCATAGAGATGGGCGCTAGGTGGCAATTCCACAAAGCTGGCACACGTTGGCTAACACACGGTGAACATTTATACATTTCGCGTAACAGTTATTAATACTTTTACAGTTATGCTTAAGCACTGTCTTTCCCCATTGGTCCTTACATGTCTCATCTTCATTTAAAGGTACATTTAAAATGTACGGAGCATGCTCAGTGGTTAGGGGGTCTTTGCTCGGGGATGGGTTTATAAACCACTGGACATGTGGTTTTCATGTTATAATGAGCTAAGTTCATCTAAAAGACACAATCTGGTCAATTTTGTAGTATCTCCGAGTACCTGATCAGGGGAGGATTCCTTGTTCCCAATTCAAGGTCCTTTTGTTCCTTTATCTCTTTGTTTCGCTGGGCTCTGTTATCTTTTTGCATGGTTGAATTGCGCAGTTCTGCCTCTTATGCTTTCTTAAAGCCTTGTTTTGTAAAGTACTTCTTTGGTTTTGGTTTTAACCTTTCATCACTGTCACTACGGGCCCGTGTAAAAAGTCACTCTCCGGCTTTCTCGTAGGCCCCTTCAGGTACTGGAAGGCTTCTCTAAGGTCTTCCCAAAGCCTTGTGTTCTCCAGGCTGAACAGTGCAACTCTCTCAGCCTTTCCTCAGAGGAGAGGAGTTCCAGCCCTCTGATCATTTTTGTGGCCCTGCTCTGGACCTGCTCCAACAGGTCCATGTCTCTCCTGTGCTGAAGACTCCAGAGCTGAATGCAGGACTCTAGGTGGGCTCTCACCAGAGCAGGGCAGAGGGGCAGAATCCCTACCTCAGCCTGCTGGCCACGCTGATTTTGGTGCAGCTAGGGTATGGCTGGCCTCTTGGGCTGTGAGCATACATTGCTGGCTCATGTTGAGCTTCTCGTCAACCACCAGCACCTCCAAGTCCTTCTCCTCAATCCCTTCTCCAGCCAACCTGTCTTTGTGCTTGGGATTGCTCCGACCCATGTGCAGGACCTTGCACTTGGCCTTGCTGAACCTCATGAGGTTCACACAGGCCCACCCCTAAAGCCTGCCCAGGTCCCTCTGGATGGCATCCCGGCCCTCCAGTGTGTTGACTGCACCATGCAGCTCGGTGTCGTTGGCAAACTTGCCGAGGCTGCAATTTCTTTTGATGACTCCACCACAACCCTTTTTAATTTGTTTCTAGGACATACCAGTGATTTAGGGAGTAGCTTTTGTTGTCTGTTCCCCTGTGAGAACCTGTTGAAATGCTGTTGTGAGTTTGTGTATTGTGTTTCCAGGGGAACCCTACCATGAATCTTTTGGGATCGCCATACTCAGTCACAAGCAAGACTTAAGCTGCTATTGAAAGATAGTCTTTTAGTGTACCTGACCCCAGTCACACAACAGGGTGTTTTTCTTTCTTTTCATTCTTTTTTTTTTTTCTATTTTTCTGTCTTTATATGAGGCGATTATCAAACTTTGGTTGCCAAGTATCTTTAACCATGGTTACCCAATTATCTGCTCCACATTTTCATCCTGCCCCCAAACTGGGATTCCTGTGTCAAACCCATACCTGTCTCCACTTTCCTGTTGCACAGCCCAACTACCCACAACCGTGGTGTCGCAACCAAAACTCCCGTCTGCCTCTCCTGGGTCCCATATCCACCCCACCAAATTACAAGCCTGCTTTGCATTGGCAATCTGCATCCACAAGCCAGGGTTTAGCCACATTCCCTCTGTCGTGTGAACAGCTTGCTTGCCTCTTTTGTCTTGGTAATCTCAGTTTAGTCTTTGCTCAGCTTAGCCTTGCTTCTGAAGATGCACACCTTGGCATACTGTAAGTGAATATTATCTAGAGAGCCCAGAGTTGCTGCAGTGTAAAAGAGCTGTAAAACAGCGTATACTGTTGAGCACCTGCTTGGTACTTACAGAGGCACTTGTTCTGCTAGCTCAGATAAACACGTCCAGACAGGCGGTTGAAACAAAATTGTGCCCTGCTCTGCCTTAGGTAAATACATAAAGCGCTGTCGCTAGGGTCTGTTGATGGAATATATGTTTATATGCAAGACAGAGTTCTCAAGCAGCCTGCTAAGTTCACCCCGAGACACTGAGCATCACAAAGTTATTTCTGAATAGTCTTCAGTCTTTTACACTGCTTTTAATGAGAGGATCGTGCTGTTCCTTAACGTTTCCATGCATGGAACAGAGCTTTTAATAACTGCTTTGCACATAGAAAACAAGCTTAATTATTTTTTTCCTTGAGAAACATGAAAAGAAGAATAGGGGGCTGGTTTTGTATAAATGCTTTCTTGATAACTTGCTGCAGTTTTTCTGTCTCTAACAGTGGTACAGTGTCTAAAGAATAACTTTCTCATAATTTGCTCCCATTTGTTTGACATTGTAGTGAAACTGTAAGTTTATGTTGATGTCATTATGATTTTGTTTCTTTTCCTTTAAAGACTACCCTTTACTTCACTAGAATTCTACGATCTCATATTTGAAAATTTGCTGCAGCTTTATCTTTATAGTAATACCTTAGAGGCCACCCTTGTCTGAATTTGTTCCACATTATCTAACATGGGTGAACTTAATGAGCCAGTAACTTTTTTTAAGCGACCAGACAAGAAAGGAGTTGGTAGTCACCTACTGAAGCCACAGGAGCAGTCACGCTGTCTCAGGCCCCATCAGAACAGGGAATCTGCCTAGAACAGGGCCAGCCTGGTGCAGTCTGCCAGAGGGTTTAATAGGCTGCTTTTCTGGTGTCTGCTGGGCTGTGGAGAGCCGGTAGATTAGCACTTAGAGACTTGTAATAGAAATTTGCTTTTATGCGATGTGCCTATCTTGAGTTAATAGAACTGTACCATCATTTTTTGTTATTGTAGACTTTGTATGTATATACTTCCCATTGAACTTTGCCATTTTAGTGTATACAGTATTTCTGTGTTTTCTGAAAGCCAGACTTTCATACCTAAATTGTGGAAATGCCTGAGGCTACCTCATTTTACGTCTTAACATAGGTTCAACTTAATACATGCATCTGATAAACAGCTTTCTGGACAGGATTAATTGTATTCTAGAATCTTGGTTGTGTTATGGTTTTAGATGGCACACTCAGATGGAGCACCTTCCGATAAAAAGACTTTGAGAACTTCATTTCTTCCCGCTGTTTTACCTTCGTCAGTCACATCTGATATGTCACCATTACAGAAAAAACTACTGACATACCGAAGATGCACCGAACAGCAAAAGATGCTTAATCAGTTACTGTGAGTTTCATGTAATTCAATAAATGTTGAAATTCAAATGAAAGAAACATTGCACATTTGACATCTGAGAAATAATAATGGTGTTTGTTAATTTTAGAAGTTTTTGTTGTTACTGTTGCAGTGCTGAACACTTTCCATCTAAAATCATTAATTATACAACATTTGGTGGAATCTCTGATGTTTTTTCTTTTACAGCACCCAAAATCTCCTTGAGGTATGTTTGTTGGGGTGAATTGTGAGGAGAAAGTGACCTTCACAGTTTGAATATTGATTATGATAGACCGAAAAAATCCTTTCTCTTTATTAAAGCTCTTTTAAAAGAGAATCAAAGTCTGGATTACTTGCTTTTGTGTGAATGATCCAAACGTGGGTCTGCCTCTAACGGGCTTCTTTGTCACTCACTATCTTAATGCATTTGCTGCTGAGCTTACTGATCTGTGTCACTGCCAGAGGAGCATAGCTGCCAAGGCGATTGGTAAATTCACATGAAATTGTCTTTCAATGTTTTCATTTGAAAAGGAGGAAAGACAATAGGAGGAGGCTGCTTTCATGTAGTTGTTTTAGGTCTAATAGAAAATTAGGTTCTTTTTTTTGTTGTTGTTATTTTGATAGAAATTTATTCCTGAAATACCTAGATTGTTTTCAGGAACTTATGGAAGAATCTCTAGACATGTTGACAATCTTGGCATAAATATGAGAGGATTATGTGGGCTAAGGTTGCATAGTTTATATTAGGATTATGAAATATATAGCAACTTGCATTTTTGTGTAAAAGATTAAAAAGGTAAGGTATTCTAATGTATTTGATAGGATCAAAAAGCACAGAAAAAAATTGTTTTGGCCTTCAGAGGAAGAAGTCGAAATTAAAGACCTATGTAAAGTCTTAATTTAACCTATTTTGAATATTGTCCCTGATATCAAGAATTTTATTTTTGTTGGTGTGGGTTTTTAGTGATTCCATTTGCTGTGACAAGATTTGGTGATGGTAACCAGTTACTTAACTAATTCATATGCAATTGATGTTCCACTTCAGTGGCTTAATTTTAAAGTGGCCTGGTATGACACGTTTTTTTTTCTTGAAAGATACTTGTAAGTGTCCCAAATTGTTGGCTTCATTGGAGCTTGGCAGTGGTGTAAATCTGAGTTGCAGGATCAAAGTCTGAGAAGAATTGATCACAGAAGGGAATGTGATTTGTGCCAAAGAGAAGGGGGGGGTGTTGCCTGTTTTTACCTCTTTTTTTTTTAAATAATGGTAGCAACAATCAGTTATAGCAAGCAGTTAATCTGTATGGAAGTTAGGAGTAGAGAAAGATGTTTCTTTTCTTTTTATACTTTAAAGGCTGTTATCATACAAATCTGACAAACAAGAAGTCTTTTAACTTTAGCTCTTGGAAAGTAAATCCTGACCTTTCAATGATACTTGCAGTAGCAGAGTGCAGTTTTTAGAATGCAGGTGTTCAGTATGCTGAAAACGTTGACTATGTTGTAGTAATAACTTACTGTGGAGTAAGGTGACTGCTGACTAGCCATTTGACAAACAGCAGTATTCTGCTGGAACATTGATGCAGGTACATTTTTGTACAGAGTGAACTGTCTTTTAAGTAAGGTCCCATGAAGTAATGATTTGCATGTATACTTGAAACTGTTAGTCTGGCTTCCACTTGGGAGTTTTTAGCGGAGTCATGCTGGGATAAGGCTGAAACACTCTGCAAGATGTGTACAGAGTGTATCCCGAAAGGATGGACTGAAATGTTTTAACGCATAAGGTCAGCAGGTCATGCCGACATTAACCATTTAAATTTTTCTGGTAGTTACGTAGCAATTTATAACTACAGGCAGTGAAAAAGAACTGGTATTAAAGTAAACAGCTTTAGGAGTCTTGTTCTGCACCTTTTTTCTTTTTTTTTTTTTTTTCCCATTATACAGTTGAACAAGGTCTGTTGTAGTTGATCAAGTAGAAGTAAGATATAAACCTAACAGGAGCATTGGGCAATTGGATGAGGTGAATCAAGGCATGTATATATTGTGATTGTGGTTAAGATAAATGTGGCTCTTTAGTTAAGAGAAGACAGAGTATGCAAAGGTAGCCTTACCTTTTTGTGATCTAAGAGTTGGTAAATGTGAAAAAACAGGTTGCATCAATTAAAATGATAGTATTCTTTTTAATATATTATTTGTAGCTTTTCTGCACTTCTGACTCTGTGTTTTACTTTAGAATTGATCGAGCTTTGAAAGCCTATCACATGTCCATGGAAGAAAAATATCACAGAGCTCCTGTACCCCCTATCCCAGAACTGCCTTCCACTGTGAGGAAGTATTTTTTTAATACTTTAATTGTGGCCTGTTTTGTTCTTTGTTATTGGGCCATTTATGCCTCTTGCTTCTTAGTATTTACTTAAAGATACTTATCTCAATCCTTAGTAATTCACAAATGTATTTATATGCTCAAGTAATCCTATTGAAATTGACACCTGTGTATCCACAGAATAAAGAATTAATCTAGGAATAATACTTGTTCAACTGTATATTTCAGATTTTTTTGTTTGTTGTATTTATATGTTCTTAATCTATTAGAATTTTCTGTTCCTTTTTATACAGATGAACAGTGAGCAAGAACAACGAAGAGTGAGTTAAATTCTTCTGCTTTTTTAGCGTAGAAGAGTGAATGGTCTCTGTTCAGAGGGATTAAGTATGTGATGTGGAATTAATGGTGGTTAAACAGGAAAAGCTTTCTCAGTAGTCTTGTTGGGGAAAAATGGAATAGGAAGCAAAATAAGAATCTTTGCTTGTGGTCCAGTAGAAGGAAAGTATTTTTTCTTACATGAAGTATGTCCATCAATAATTTAAGTTTTGATCTAGACCTTAGTTAAAGATCATTACTTAGGAAAAAATGCTAACAGGCTTCAGGATTTTTTCAGTTTAGGTCATAGACTGTATTTTAGCTTGTACTAGAAGTACTCTTTGACATTGTTCACCTGATTTGAAGAATATGTACAAATCCTGGAATTTGTGTATAGTTTTTAAAAGAAGACTTTATCTCTGGGAGCCACTTTAAACTCAAATTAGCATTAAAATATTTATTTTAAGTAGTTTCAGGGAACATCTGTTTTTCCTAGCTGATGTTAAGTAAACTGATTCTGAACACTAGAGATTCAGATCCCATTTTTTTTTATAACAAGCATATCACTCAAAAGCATAAATACCTATTTCTTTGGGAAAAAAAACAACCCTATTTGTCCATACTTTTTGACATATAAATGGTTTTCCAAAGAGCAAGAACATGAACCTTGAACTGTTTTATAGTCAGTCATAAAATTCAGCAGAGAACCAAGGAAAATGCCGTACTAAATGTTTTGTATTTAAGCATTGATATAGGGAGACCATTTTACCAACTATGGTGAATAAAGAGACTTCATTGTCAAGCCTAATGCAAAAATATTTACATAACTAGTTAACAGACATCTGACAATATTGTCCTTTCAGACAAACTATCTCTTTATGAAGAAATGCGTGCAAAGTAATCCGGTGGTTCCCATTCAGCAGCAGTGGTTAATGTCCATCCTTGCATTGGTGCCACAGTCGTATATGGAAGGCAAAGATAGAGAGCTGTTAGTGGAAAAGCTTTTAGGGGAGGTAACAAGGGATTATGAGATGAGCATGAGAAGATGTGTGGGTAAGTACCAGAAACTACACAGTACTAATATTAAAATATTAACATGTGTGTGTACATGTGTGTGTATATATATATAAAAAATAAGCCGTTCCATGTTCTCCCACTGCAAATAATTTTTCTAGGTTGTTCTTTCAGCCAGACATTATCTTTGTAATTAAGCACTGGTTTTTCTTTTTCTGCCTCACCAAATGTGCATTGAACGTAATTTTTAAGACAAAACTGGATTTTTTTTTTTTTTTTGGACTACTAAAAGGTTAACCAGACAGAGGTATAGTTCAAGGAGAGAAATGGCAGCTGTAGACTTCATGAGAAAGAAGTTGATTGCTGTGACCTTATTTCATGAAGTCTTCAATATGTTTGGTTAATTTGGTGCAAGAATGTATTGGTGTTTTCTACTAGAGAAAGTAGAAACTTTTTATGTACTAGTCATTCTTTTTTTTTTTTTTCCCCTTAAGGAACAACAGCTTTTTTTTAAGCTGTTCATCCACAAGCACATCCATGAGTTTTCTGATGCTACTTTCTATGCATGAGGAAGTTCGCAGTAAAGATCTGCAAAGATAATTAGCTGTTTTCAGATATGACTGATACAACTCACTTTGATTTTTAAACTTTTTTAAAAAGATTCATAAACTGAAATTTTGAAAATGTATTTCCTTGAAATCATGTATTGATGTCTTTTTTATTAACACTTACAGTATCTGAAATCTGAAAATGGGCCAAATTTTGTCAGTATTTTGGTGGATGGTTGATCTTTTAAAAAATGCACATTAAAAAAACACACAATTTAATGTGGGACTAACTTCATAATGTCATCAGTAGGATACTTATGTATATAAGTGTAGTATCTCGCTATAATTATATTAAAAAAAATTGCCATATATTATTAGAATCATAGAATCGTAGAATATCTCAAACTGGGGGGGACCCTTAAGGATTGTTGAGTCCAAGTCTCTGCTCCTTGCAGGACTTCTGAACACTAAACCATGTGACTATGAGTGTCGTCTAGATGCTCCTTGAACTCTGACATGCTTGATGCTGTGACCACTTTGCTGGGGAGCCTGCTGAATATAGCTTCATTTTCTTCTAATGTTCTCTTTTTTTTTTTTTTCCCCTAGTGCGAAGTGTTCTTATTAAACCAGATATAAAAGGACTTGAAGAGGATGCAACTTTGCCTTTATCACCTCTGTGAGTGGATTAAGTTAGCAAGTAACCCACTGGCAAAACACACTCAGTTGCATGAGTGGAGTTGTTGAACTGCATGAACAGAGTTATGGCACAGTATTGATCCTGGAGTCCCTTAATGAGACACTCTGTCTGTAGAGGATCTTACATTTGAGCATCTTGTATCTGTATGCTTTACAAAGTTTTAGCACTGACAGGGTTTTACCACTGTTATTACAGTTACACAGAATAGCACTAATGACTGCAAATGAGATTTATATCTCTGAGTGCCCAGACACTAAAGCTGTATTGCAGCCACCTCTGGAATGAAGTGTGTGTGTGTGTGTACAGGGCAGTTTACTGGCAGACAGCAGCATTGTACAGTACTTTAACATGATAAAACTGCATCTAGAGCCAAGGTTCCATATCACTTTGGTGTTATGAGGTGGAACCTTGAGACTGAAGAAAAGGCTATTATGCTGTGCCAAAATAGAAGAGGAATTCTGGTAGACAGAATGTAATGATCTGAAATGCACAATTTGCTGAAGCATCAGAATGTGTGCCATCTAAATATTTATGATAAATACTTCTTGTTAGTGGTTGGTGAAGTTCAAAGTTTACATTGAAAGAGCTTCAGGAAGAGCAGGTGTCTGAAAACACTCTGGAGTATAAAACGTGGTTGATCAAACAGAGTATCTTTATGGCTTCCACTGCATCGTTTTGGGAATATGTCTATGGCACTTAAATAACTATTCAGGTTAGGGAATAAGCATTTTAATACTACTTTTTATATGTCAGAATGTTTTATTCAAGTATTGCTTGAGCTCTTCATTTTTCTTTTTGTTTGTTTGTTTTGGTTGTTGTGGGGTTTTTTTTCAGAGGCCTGGATTTTTCTAGACCGTGGCATAACAGTTTTATGAAAGCAAAAGATCAAATCCTTTCCAACTTGCACATTCTCCACCCCACAATGAAAACTCTACTGGATCTTGGTTATGCAGCATTCTCTACCTTTCTTATAGTGGATTTCTCAAGTTTCAGGTAAAGTTTGTTTTGATGAGCTATTAACCTGTGTAGGTTTTTGAAGCTGATGAAGAAGAGATTGTTCAATTCTATTGTTTATCATAGGGTTTTTTAGATAATAAATTTCTTCAGTGTGTCGTTTAATATTCTTGGAGTAGGTTGCTTTGTGTTATGACACATTTAACTTTCTGCTCTCTGTTACATGTACATATTTTATTGGTGCTTAGACTGCTGGTAGTATCAGCCCTTTTGATTTGTGTTTTGCTTTTAATTCTGTAAAGGTTTCCTCATTATTTATTTAATCTTAATGCCGTGATCCCTACAGAAGGCTGGTTGAAGTAGCATTTGAAAAATTGACTCACAGTGGTGTTGCTATCTGTAGGGAATTCTACGCTAGCCCTGAAGATCAGATTTCTTGCTGGTTTTCATGAGTTGAATTTTTAATCTTGGAACTTTTCATTTTCCTAATTTTCAAAAAGATAATTTTTCAATTATCTTTTTTCTCATTATTTTTTGTGGTAACTGTTCTTTATTTCCTGGGGTTTGGGCTACTTTTTCCACTCATTTAAGTCTACAGAAGTGATGCTTAGGTTACCACTGTGCTTTCTGCTAAAAAAGAATGGATTCATAGTACAGTATAGATTACTGTTACTTTACTCCATGGGTTTTTTATTTTTGTTTATAAAGTTGCCTGTAACTTTCTTTTCTAGATTGAAAAGGCCAATTGACTTAGAATCTTTAAAGACTGATGTCTCTCTAAGCTGTTCTAAAGCAGAAGAGAAAATATTGAATACGTGGTATCAAAGAGTTATCGGTCTCTTTACTCAGAAGCAGGCATTGAATGGTGTGAAGTTGAATCAGGTTGACTCTTTTTATAACTGTGTGGCTACGCTTATGTCTAATCAGGTAGAAATCTTTCCTCTCTGTGATAAACTTAGTGTGAAATATAGATAGTTTTAGTGAGTCAGGACATTATATGATACAGGGCCTGTTTAATTATTCATTGTTAGCCATCTGTTGCATATAATCCAGTAAATTATTCAAAGTGTTAAATATTTTTAACCTCCCTCATTTAAAATAAACGCATAGTCTTGTCTACTTCTTTTCCTTCTAGTTTTTTGACATGGAAAATTTATTCATTTTACCAACTAGAATCTAATTAGCTTAAGGAAAGAAATGTCTCGGTGTTCTCAGGACCCTTCCTATAACCAATCTTGGCACTATAATTACATGTCGTACATTAACAAAGTGATCAAAACCTGGTCTGTCTCCCTTGAAAGCAAACATACCTACACAAACAGACTGAAAGTCCAGTTCTGCTAGCATGTATCCAAGTGGCTACAGTTCTGCAAAATTTCCAAACACATTTTTTTTGTGTGGAAAATGATACCATGATGCTTTGTGAGTTAGTTTTTTCTCTCCCTGATTATTTATGTCATGATGGAAGTTATATGAAGTGTTTCTCAGTTGTTTTTTTTTTTAAATGAATTTCCAGTTGTTTTATTTCCTAATAATAATAAAACAAGAACATTCAAATTAAATCACTGCTTTCAGACTGACAATTGTTTTTCGAAGTCCTTAGTTTACTGAAAGTTAAAGATGCTTTAGCTTCCAGTTAACTTAAAGCATCTGTTGTTTATGTTGATCTATTTGGGAATATAATAATCATTGGGAATATAAAAGTTCAGTGGTTTGAGAAGGCATTCATTTTTAGGATTAACCCTTTATTTTACTTTGTAGAAAAATAATGGAACAGTAGTCCAATCGAATCATTCTCATATTAAAAAAGTAAAAAAGTCAGAGGAAAATGCATTCCAGATATTTCATTTATACTTAAAGCATGTGTTAGTAATAGACTTATGTAGCAAAAATAAATGCATGGGCTTTACTGAAATACTTGTTTACTTGTTCATCAGTTTACATCCTTTAAGGGTTGGGACTAATGCCCACTGAATTCGTGAGTAAACCTCACACTGCTGCAGTTATCCATGAATCAGGCTAAAAGTACTAAAATGGATGGACGTCCTGGTTTGCTGAATGAAGGGGAAGTGGGATGGGGCTTTCTATTCTTTCAACTAATAGGTGATATATGTTATTACCTAGCTGAAAGAATTATTGAGAAGAACAGTTGAAGCTTTTGTGAAACTTTTTGATCCTGAAGACAGAAATTGTCTACCTGTATTTAAGATGGAACTGACTCTTGATGAGAAGAAAATGGAGTTTTATCCAAGCTTCCAAGACCTAGAAGAAGCAATTCTGTTTATAGTAAATCGTATAGGACAGACTCTCCAGGTGTGCTTTTGTCTTTGTTTAAATATGTAACTGCTAAGTTGCTCCATACATGAACATACTAGTAATTTAGGACTCTGACTACCATGGAAATGAGAAGCAGAATGCAACTTGAGGTATTTATTTTCCATGAGCATTCTGCAGGTCACTTCATGAATCTTGATGCCCAGTGAAACTCCAGGCTTTGAAACTCATTTTGTTATTCCTTTTTCAGAAAAACATTAGTACACCTGCTATTCATTGTTTTAGTCTGCTTTTTTAATCTGCCAATCTGTGTGTGTGTCTACAAATTAATTGTCTGGTAGAAGTCAGGCTGAAAACTTACCCGGGAAAGAAAACTAGCCAGAAGATAAGCTTTTTGTTTTCTTCTTTGGTATATTTAGAAAACCTGAGAATGCTTTAAGGAACCACATATTCTAATTTATTTATGTATTTAGTTTTAACATTGAAAATAAAGTAGTTTTGCATTGTATACTTTCTGTGAACTAACATTTTGCATAGAAATATAATTAACACCTTAGTTGTATGTGTGATGATTTACAAAATTACAATAAACTTGCATTAATAATTAAGATCCTCAGAGACAGACAAGGAAAATTAGCTAAATATTCCTTTACTTTTTAAGAAAAAGAAGTAACAACTAGTGTATACAGTCTCTAAAGATGTATGTCTTGGGAACCAATCTATGACCCAAGGGAAGACAGCCTTTCTGGGGGCTTTAGATGTATTTAGATGTGGACTTAGTATTGGCCTTGAATCATACATGACGGTACTTTTGGAGAAGTGTTTTGGGTTTAGTTCTGTGTGTTTGCACACAGGATAGAGTTTAATTTTATATAGGATTGGATAATTATTTTGTGTCCGTTTTACATGTTTCCTATTAAACTTTCTGAGTAAGGAATAGTTGCTCTAGGTACGTATGAAGCACCTGGCCTTGGTCATGATTAGGGTCTCATACTTTGCTGGTACAGTGTCTTCTGCACATTGCAGCTTACTTTTATTTTTAGAAGTATATATTTTACATGTATATATTTTATATTATTATATTAATTGCTTTTTTAAATTTATGTAATCAGAACTTGCACTTCTATTAGAACATCCAGACAGTACGTTCGTGGCTAATGGGAGGCACTACAACTCTGGACACTGAGCTTCCTAACCATGTCATAGCATGGGCCACATCTACACTGAAAAAATCTATCAGAGACAACTTAGAAGGTCTAAAGGAATATTTTGAAAACTATGGTGAGTGATAGAAGAGTGTTTAAATAACTGTGTTACTTCTTTGAAATAAGTAACTTACTGTACAGCGCGTGCGTTATAGTAATATTAATATAATATTATTGAATTATTTTTGAAAGGTATTGCTGGCTTGTAGATGGAACTGCACAGGCACGGATAGAAAGATTTGAAGCAGAAGAACACAGTTTTGATGAATATACTGCTGTAAGTTTTAATTATACATTTTATATATAATTTCTACTATACATACAGCAAAAATAACAAGGAAACAGAGGATAATGAGTGTTTCACTTCTAGCCAAAAATTATGTTGACTACCTACAAATCTACAACATTAAGTGTGGTTTTCCCTTAAAGTCTGTGGTAAGTAGAAAAAGCTATTATTTATTTTCTGCAATGTGTAATACTGAATTAATTACTTGGCTACATGAATAACAGCTCTGAAGTGTGTGTTTTTCTGAAGTTCATAGATGAATTCTTCACCCTCAAGAAGGAAATCTTGAGTTTACCAGAGGTGGCTCATTTCCCTATGATCTGTTTGAATTGTGAGGATTTAAAGCAAGGTTTGTCCAGTAACGCAAATACCTTTGCAAAAATGCTGATGAACAGGATAGTTGCAAATTACAGAGAGGAAAATGAAAAGTAAGTAGAATTTTCTGCTTGTCAATACTACCTGTGTTAAAAGCATAGTAGAAACATGTAGAAGAAATGCAAATATACCATACTCCTGTTCAGTGAAGACTCTTGGCTAACTAATGATCTAATGCAAGTTGCACCAGCTGATATACTTTTTCCTCTGTTTTAGACTCAAAAACTATTAGGGGAATGTAGTAATAGACTTAGATAATGCGGGAGCTAAAAGATCAAAGGGCTTCATTACAGTTCTGACTTTTTAAGTGTGAAATACAGTACTACTGCACAGTCAAAGCAAGGACTAGCTCAATTCTCTCATAACATGACAGATACCTCTAGGTTTTCTTAGATAATGACAGATAATAACACTGATCAATTCTAAAGGTTAATTTGCAGATATGGATTAAATCATGAGTGAGGTCATATTAAATTGTTTGGTTAAAATGAACAATTATAGTCAAGTTTTATCGTGATTCCACATTACCAAAATGATAAAATATTTACTAGGAAAATGTTTGTGTGTATGCTGATGATACTGTACTTAGGTTCGTGTACTTACCAAAAGTAATCGAAGCATTTATTGCAAAAGAATACCCCCAAATCCAAACAAATAAATTATTGCAAGTTAATAAACAGTATTTTCCTAGACTGACTTGGTCATATTCCCTATTTAGTTTCATAAAGTAATGGAGTTTGTGCAGGGGTGATACTTAAAGAAATAATTTGAACTTTTAATTCCATTAAAACTGAGCTTGAAGTCAGTCAAATTAAAATCTTAAAATTTGGATATTTTATGTTAAATATATTTATAGGATATGCAGGGAATTTGAAGCAATTAAGGAATGTGCATTGAAAGCTCCTGAGACAACAGAAGAAATGGTGGAAACAATAGCTTACATAAAGAAGGTCAAAACCAAAGGTATTCAGGACCTGTTGTTAAGGATCAAGGTAAATGACTATCCTTTAGTTCTTAATCTTGTACCAGACATGCTGGCCTATACAAATACAAAATTCATTCTGGAGCGCAGACATGTTTATCTGATCATGCTTCATGCATGAATAAACTGTAGCCTCAGTGTTACTGCGGAGAGAATTAGAAAGTCCAGCTGATTCTTTGCGATATGCCTTTCATTCTTATTCCCTATTCCCATGTATTCTGCGTGTCAGTGAGGAAGTGCAGCATTTAATAAATCATAACAGATTGTAGAGGCCCTCACTTTATTGTTTGTACCTAGAGACTTACTTCAGGGCTGCTTAAAAAGCTGTTTGTGAAAATATAACATGTAAGTGTAAAGAGAGTTTTATGTGATCATGACTTTGAACACACAAGAAGCAATTTACTAATTGAGCAGGGTATAGATGATGTTGCATTAGGAGTAGTACTTTGCACTCAGAGAACAAAATTGAAAAATTGTGGAAGGCATGGATCAGACAAAAACATTACTGGCTAAGAAGTTCTTTGCTGTATGTGATGATGGTATGTATCAGAACTTCTGTTACGGTAATAGGTCTGTAAATATAACACATTTATTCTGCAGAGTTTGTATTTTAAATATTTTTCAATAACACGAGGATTTTTGCATGTAGATTTACAGGCCACAGGAGTCATATTTAGAGAAATAAGCTCATGAACGGGACAGGGATGTGAATAGCTTATAATATATATTTTTAATATTAATATTCAATTGACTGAAGTAGCTCCGAATCCTGAGAAGTCAGTGAAATGTAGACTTCTATTTTATCTTTGTAGATAATATTGTCCTACCCTATATTTTAAACAGACCTATAATAACTAAAGTTTTGTGAAATCTCTTCTGATAGGAGTGCTGTCGGCAGATGAATTACTTCTTAGATGTGTTTCTATTTGCTCCTGAAGACCTTGCACTGAATGCAGCTGTTGTATTATGGCCAAAGATGATTAGCCCTATTTTTGATGAGCATGATGAGGTAAGAGCATTTTCTTAGTTTATGGTATGTTTTGGCTTGTTAGACTTTTCACTTTACCGGAGCGATTTGTTTCCTCAGCAGGCTAAATGTATCTATGTATGAACCGTACTTATTTAGACATGCATAAATAACATATTTCCAGATTTTTATATCAATAGAGGGCTTTTTGTGGAGTAAATTAAAAATTATCACTGTAACTTAAAACCTTCAGCAAGTCTTATTATCTTAATTTGTTTGTGGTCAGTACTAGGTAATTCATAGGAAGGTGAAAATTCGCTACACTGCAGTGGACTAGTACTGAAAATGTGACTGCCAGGCCCTTAATAAGAGTTAGTGCTCTGGACGGGAAATCATTTAGTTAAAACCATATTTTGTTCTGGCAATAAAAGAACAGTGGGAATTGTGTTTTTTAGGTAGCAATCATGAATAGAAAATATCCAACATCTAATTTTCTCTGTGTGGCTGTAGATTACTTTCTTCACTTGTCTGTATTAATCTCGCTAGCATTCTTTCTCTCTGGCTGTGATACACCAAGTCAAGCCTTTTGGTGTTCACTTGCCTCTCTATAGGAATTTAGCATAGCTTTAATAATTTCTTCTAAAAATGTTTAAGAATTAAGAATTAACATTTTTAAAAATAAAAATATCAATATATTTTAAATATCACTGTTGAGGATTTCTCTTTCACTAAATCTGATTTAGCTACTAAGGAGTATGTCCAAGGGTAGTAGATATGCCTCTGTCTTAAAACATACCCAGTTTGGGAGACTGCTATGTCTGTAAACTATTTTGTTTGCAAGTTACCATTCTTTTAATCCTGAGAAATAAATAAGTGAAATTAATTTTCTGCTTATACACAGAGAGTCCATGATGCTTGTTCAAATTCTTTTTAGTGAAAATGGTAGTACAGAGTGTTTCTGACTTAATGAGAGTCCCTCAGGAGAATATCTCTCTGTAGCTGACTACCTAGCAACTTGCACTGTACTAGAGCTTAAGGACAAGAATAGTTTTACATCAGGTTTTTATGAGTCTTCATATTTGCCTTTTATACTCTCAGATATGAGTCCATTCTAATACAGTCAGAAAAGACTGGTTCCTTCCTTCTTTGGATGAGTTCTGTTTGTCTGCTTCACAATTTTTGTGTGGTAGTAGGTGTCCTTGTCTTAGGACATCTGCTTTGCCTCAGCTGATTTCTTGTTTGGTACCTTAAAAATAACCACTCTGTGTGTAGAACCTGTGATTTAGAGTGGTCTTACATTCTGGAATTTCTGCCTTTTATAGCAGTAGATACATGTGGGATAGCATTGACTTTCAACGGCTCTAGATGTCCTCTTTTGTCAATAAAACACTGAGTCCCGAAGATGAAAATATCTCCATTTTTTTCTAATTCTTTCCTATCTTTTGTCCGATTGCTGAAGGAGGCCTTTAAGGCAATCGCAACTGCTGTGACTGTTGAGATAAGGGTTCCGTGTTAACATATGGAGGTTGCACACACTTAAATGGGACACATAGACAGCAACTCCTGAGGAAATTTCGATTATTGTAAGGACAATAACTTAGCTGTATTGTTTATTTTCTGTCTGTTTGTACTAGATGTTTAATTTAGAATGTACTATATATGTTAATCATTGAAAGGACTTACAACCACTTTTGCGTTGCTTTTTTACCATTAAAAAAAATTGTTTTGTAGCTGATTCAACAGTCTAAATGTAAAAGAGAGCAAGAACTAACACATAAATATGAGAAACTGATGGTGGAATTAGAGAAGCTGACACGTTGTGTGACAGAGTTCGAAGAATACTCGGAACTGGGTTGCATGCAACAGGTCTGATTAGCATATAGTATAAAATGGGTAGAAATTTTCTTTAAGTTTAATACATAGGGGTTGTAGAAGAAACTTAGAATTAAAAATAATAAATTATTTTAACAAATGTGAACTAAAATGTTTATTATCCTATTACCACAATGAACCAACTCATAAAATGACCTGTGTTGTCCCCCTACCCCCTTTGGTATTACATTGGCAATAACATTTGACTTAAAGGAAAGTTTACTATAAAGTTGTGCTTAAATTAGCTGAAAAGTAATCCAGCAAGGACTGAGATACTACAAATGTGTAAAGTGAATTATTTTTTTTTGCTCTGGTTCGTACAAAGCATGGAATTCTGTCCCCTATGACATTATTTGCAAATAACTTCAGTGGGATCAGAATTTCCTTCCCTGTTTTTGATACATTGAGGCACTGAAGGAAAAAATACCAGGTTAGAAAGTGTGGTTGGTAGCAATTTGATTTTTTTTAATAATTTTTTTTTTCCTATGAACCCAAGAACTTCATTTTTCTGCTATTGAAGAGGAGACCACTGGCTCTAGAACTGTGCAAATTTCTAGAAGTATTTTATAATCGCCAGAGCATGTCTTGCGCTTTAATTGGAGGATGTAACAGTTTTGCTTAGTGATTTTGGTTTGTAAAAACAGAGCACTTCAAAGCACAAAACAGAAATTCTGAGCTAATAAATGCCAGTTGCACTTACGTTAGGTACATAAAAACATGTATGCCTGCCTTCTGGAACAGTGAATTTTGTAGCTCAAACATTTTGAAAATGGTTTTATACTCTTAAATTCAGTAATGGTAAAACAACTTTATCTTTCTTAATGTTAATCTGGGTTCTTCACAGTTCATCGGCTCAAGGATAGGAAGATGAGTTTTTAACTCATGTTTTCTAAAATTTTAGTAAATATGAAGGCTTATTATATTTTGATATCTTATTTCGATAGCTGTTCAGAGCACAGCTTAGTTATCTCTCAAGACATATAATTATTTCATTTCAGTATGTGTCTGACTTGAGAGCGTTACAGAAGCGCATACAGGAGGCTGATGAAACAGTAGCTCTTATAAATAAAGAAGAGTCTCTGCTCGAATGGAAACTGAGTGACTTCCCACTCCTCAACAACTTAAAAGTTGATATTGAACCATATCAGAAGCTCTTTCATCTTATACTGAAATGGCAACGAACAGAAAAAAGGTAATTCAGCTCTTGAAGCGAAATGAGGGAGGGCAGGAAAAATGCTCATGCTGGTTTTGTTCATGTCGGATGTAGAATATGCACTTGTTTTCTTATAAACATTTATTTGTTATTAGAAATCCATGTATAATAGTGAGATAATTTACATATCAGTCTTGTTAGTTTCGATTTAGCTAGAAAAAAAGTATTTTGTTTTTTTTCAATGTAATGCAAAGGAGTGTATCGCGTACTGGGTTCTAACTGTATTGGTCATGCTGGTGAAGCCTATGATAACACAAACTCTGTGAAAGAAATACATTAGGAAGAAAAAGTTTGGTTAATTATGGGCTATTTTGTATACCAGAAAAGGAAGAAGTTAAATTGGAAAGTTCAAAATCTATATGTAATGAAAACCATTTTTGACCTAATGGCTGTCCAAAATGCCAGGTAGATGTGCTGAAATGATTACATTGCTATCTGGTGACTAGGTCCTATCACAAAAACTGTAGTATGTCAGCGTCTAAATTAAGTGAAATTGTTTACCAGTTCTTTGGAAGTTATAACGTGATATGGCTAGAAAGTACGGATTTTTTTGAAAATGCAAAGGCCTAGTATCTTTTGATGCCATATGTTGATCTTTATCCAGAGCTTAACTTAAATATCTCTTAATCCATGCAGTTACTTGATTTCAGTACGTGACTGACTGGAGAGAATTACACAATGCACAGAAGAGTGTGATCAAGCCTCATTTAGATGTGTATTGGAATTTTGCGTAGAATGACAATAATAGGAAACAAGAGCTTTAATTTAAGTAACTGTTAATCTACATCTTGTTTATGTTGCAAAACAAAGTGTGAATTATTTGTGGACTATTTGTTTGTAATTCTGTTTTCTAACTTTGTGGGTTTTCTCAGATGGATGGATGGTACCTTTCTGGAACTAAATGGGGAAAGCATGGAGGCTGAGGTTGATGAGTTTTTTAGAGAGATATACAAGGTGTCAAGACTCTTCCAACAAAAGCAGAAGAAAATTCAACAGGAGTGGAAGAAGACGTCACAACACAGAACTGCAAAAGAGAAGACAGAAGAAGAAACAAAGGCAAATCCAACTCTTACAATGTGTTCTTCAGTTCTGGAGCAGATTAAAGACTTTAAGGTAAGAAAAGGCCAGGGATATTAATATATATGATGCTGAGGGACAACTGCTAAATTCAGCAGTCAGCGTAGGTGGATGATGCAGTGTCAGAGACTCCTGTTATTACAGAGAGAGAGAAAGCTCTGAATAACCATTTTAAGATTGTACTGTCTCATTGGTTTTAATAAAATTGGATTTTGGATATCTGTAGTTTTAGGAGTGTGAATTCTTAAAGAGTGGACACATACAGAAGAAAAGTAATTTTTGGATGCAGAGAAACATTTAAAGATGTAGTTGGGAATTTTGAAATGGTGTACTGTAAGTTATGTTAATGGAAGCGAAATTTAGCATAACATAGCTGAAAAATTGTTCCTTATCTCTTTTCTGCTAAGACTGTGCTTGTTAGTTTTGTATTTCTTCTTCAGTGATTTAGTACAATTGTTTGGAAATGGAATGGATAACTAAACATCCATCTGCACTTTTCAGAAAAGATATTTTTGTCATCAGCTACTGGAGCAGAATTTTAAATGCACATCAAAGATGATTAAAAAACTAAGAAATAATGTACATCACAATTTTTACGTTATAATTGTTTTTCCTCAATTAGGAGAATATTCCCACTGTGACTATCTTTTGTAACCCTGGCATGAGAAGTCGTCAATGGCAGCAGATGTCAAATATAGTAGGATATGATTTAACACCAGACTCTGGAACTACCCTGAGAAAAGTTTTAAAGCAGAATCTAGCCCCTTATTTGAAAGAGTTTGAAGCTATAAGTGTAGGTGCAAGCAAGGTAAGCGCAGAGATTTGATAGCGACAAATATGACATCAGGTCTCTTAGTGATGGCTTTTATGGCTTACTAGAATTTTTTGTCTTTGCTGTTACGCAACAGAAGAGATTTGGTGAGACTTCGTTAGTATTTTCCAAGTGTAATGCTTTCTGTGCACTAGAAAATGATATACTAAGAGAAACGATACCAAGAAGTTAATTTATGCTGTTAGAGTAAAATGGTTTATCCAACTAGATGAGCTTATATATTGAATTAGTGAGCTGGCAAAAAATACAGCAGTGACTAAAATGAACCTTTTTAAACTGTAGGAATTTTCCTTAGAGAAAGCAATGCGTGCCATGATGGAAACCTGGGATTCAATTTCCTTCAATACAAGTGTGTATCATGAGACTGGTGTTCATATTCTGTCTGCGGTGGATGAGATTCAAGCTGTTCTCGATGATCAGATTATGCAAACTCACATAATGAGAGGATCACCTTTCATTAAACCATTTGACAAAGAAATCAGGGTACGATCATTTTTATTTGCAGGATAACTATAATATAAGAGTATGCCAATTGTATTAGAACTTTATTGTTTTACTTGTTAATGAAATGCTTTCATTGGTTTTTCAGCAAGATTTTTTGAGTACATAGAAGTCCTACTTACATTATTTCTGTGTTGGAATTCCCTCTTCTGTTCAGATTCAAGAACCAAGAGAACTTGATTATTTTTTCGTGTATTTTGCAAAATCACTATTTCCATTAGTGTATTTAATGTTGCTGCTTAATAACTGGAAATTATGTTTTTATTATTGTTAATAACATTTAATCATTTAATCCTTGAGTTTTGGACTCAACTTTTGAACTATAGTGTTTTCGTGTGGGCAAGGAAATTACCTGAGAGCTGGGAGAAGGTTTTTTTTTAATAAGGCCTCAGAACAATGATGGGATTGCTTCACACCTGCTTTTATATTTTCAGGGCTACAGTAGTCTTTGTGGTGCTAACACCATGACTTGTTGACGGGAGAGAAGCTGGTGAAATAGCTTTGCATTTACTTTCACTAGTTTTTGGTTGTCTGTGTAGGAAATCTTCAGGTTCAAGCAGGCTCAGTGAACATAAGTAGTATTTACCCTTTACAGGCAGCCTCTCCAGGCTCTTCCAGAAGTATCTGCTATTGTTCACTTTAGGGACAGGATACTGGGCTGGCGGGATCTAGTATGGCCTTTCTGGTATTTTTGTGTCCCTGCTGTAATTCAGGTGCAAACCAAGAGCTCCTTGCTGTGGGGAGATGAAACAAAATTTGCCACTGGTAGCCTCCTGGATATTACTTAACCATGAAGTTGTTAAAATATCACTAAAGTGATAATTGCATTTTGGAAAATTCACTTCCAGGTCAGTTAAGCTTTCTGAACTCCGTTGGCCATCTGTATACGTCAAAGAACCTAAATAGGCGTAAATATTTTTTCTTTTATTTTGTTTACTGCTAGACATTTTAATTTTCTTCTTGGGAACTAGCGTACCACAGTGTCTACCTTTCCTGTATTTATTCTCTCTAACATGACTTGTTTGGAAATATTATGGTAACATTCTTTAAATATTTATTAAGGAATGGGAAAATCGCTTAATTCAGATTCAGGAGATTATTGATGAGTGGCTGAAAGTGCAAGCACAGTGGCTTTATTTGGAACCCATTTTTTCTTCTGAGGATATTATGCAACAGATGCCAGAAGAGGGGCATCACTTTCAGACTGTGGACAGACACTGGAGGGATATTATGAAGTATTGTGCCAAAGACCCAAAGGTAAGGAAAACATACAATACTAAAAGGAAACAGGAGCTTCTGTCTGGTTTGTTTTTTCTTGTCAATGCTTTTGTTTTCAGAGTATATACAATGAACTACTACATTGGTTGCCTAGGCTTTCTAGGAACAAAGCCATGTTGTACGTTATTTGAACAACTTTTACAGTTTGAAGGATCTTATTTATAACTTACAGTTTGCACGTGTTTGTTGTTACAGGTTCTTGTTGCAACGTCCTTGATAGGGTTATTGGAGAAGCTTCAGAAGTGTAATGAGCTTCTTGACAAAATCATGAAAGGACTTAATGCTTATCTTGAGAAAAAACGTCTCTTCTTTCCCCGGTATGATGAGTTTTGGCTATTTAAAAAACAAAGATTCTGAATGTTTATTTTGTTGTGAATAAGGTCAGCCTATAAAGCAGCTTGATAATACAGTTGGCTTTTTTCTTTTTTTTTTTCTTTTTTCTATATTTTTTTTAGCTTCTTTTTCTTGTCTGATGATGAAATGTTGGAGATCCTGTCAGAGACTAAGGATCCTCTCAGAGTTCAGCCTCACTTGAAGAAGTGTTTTGAAGGCATTGCTAAGCTCCATTTCCTTCCCAGTTTGGATATTAAAGCAATGTATAGTTCTGAAGGGGAGTATGTAGAACTGATTTCAACCATTTCTACTTCTGAAGCTCGAGGTGCCGTGGAGAAGTGGTTAACTCAAGTAGAAGATATTATGCTGAAGAGTATACATGATGTTATTGCTAGATCAAGAACGGTATGGGGTTTGTAATAATTTACTAACTGTGGCACAAATAGACCTTTCTTTATTTTAAGGCTGTCTCTTGGCTTCCTAAAATTCTTCCTGAATACTTCCTGAGTTGATGAAGTTACGGGATCAGGAGCACGTTAACATGACTTTTATTTATAGACCGGTGAGATAAGTAAGAGTTTGGTTTGAATAAGAGTTATTTTCCTGTAATGCTGAATATAAATTATTTTAAAAGCTTGGCAGCAATACTGTATTTATAGGATATATCACTTGATGCAAATAAATGATTTGGATTTTTTTATTGCATTAGAAGTTAGAAATACAATACTTGTAATATGTTTGCTTGCTCCTAAAAGAAAAACATTAGCCAGAAAATGTTTCTTTGTATGAAGTTAGCAAGTTGTGGATATTTACATAATATGGAAAGATAAGTGCAAGAATCTTTAAAATTATTTGGTAACAAATAGCAAACCTAAGGGGAAAAGAACATTTAGAAGTTCATTTGGACTTTGAAAATAGGAAAATAGTATTTTTTAGCAAAGAATATTAATAAGATCACATTATATGCTTCTGTATTATGTTGTGATATATAAGCACTGACACTGTATTTGTATACTGCATTTAACTCTTTTAGGCGTATCTAGAGACTGAGAGAAAGAGATGGGTTCTGGAGTGGCCTGGACAAGTAGTATTGTGTGTGTCTCAAATGTTCTGGACAAGTGAGGTACATGAAGTTCTTCGCAGTGGGCCAAAGGTACTTAGTAATGCATAATCTTTTTTAAAATTTTTTGTTAATTTTTCATTTCAGCTAATGCATTTTGCTTGATCAAATATTTTTGTACAACCAAAATAAAATTTGAAAAAGGATCAGGATATGAGTTTCATACACATGTATTTATGTACAGTGATTTATACCTTTGATTCAGGTACTTCAATATTCTTGTTTAAAGAAAGCATGGATTAAAATGTAGCTTTGCAACCTAAATGGGTAACTGTGAACGAGAGAGAATTGATGCAAAAACATGACAATGTTAAAGAATGGCCTAATAAGCAATCTCCATTAAGGTATTTAGTCAACATGAGGAAGTCTGGAACACTTGAACCTGTCATATAATTGGTTTCATAATCTTTTTTCTTCTAGGGTTTAAAGGATTATTATGATATGCTTCAGCTTCAACTTAATGATATTGTAGAGCTGGTAAGAGGAAAACTGTCAAAGCAAACAAGGACTACACTGGGTGCCTTGGTTACTATTGATGTTCATGCTAGAGATGTCATCATGGAAATGATAGAAAGTGGTAATTACCTTTTAAAACATTTTTCTTGACAAATATCTTAAGACATAGTTAATTAAAAATAGTTAACCAGTCTGATTTTGCTGCCTAAAATACAACAGTATGAAGAAATGTATGTGAGTGTTTGGAGGTGAGCATCAACATTAATAATTTCAAAGCTGTTTTACATTTAAACCTAATGGAAAATCCAGTTATCTAAAACATAATTTACGATTGCTTTCAATTCTGTGTTTATCAGGCGTGCAGAGTGAAACAGACTTTCAGTGGCTTGCACAACTACGATATTATTGGGAATGTGAGAACGTTCATGTCTGCATCATTAATTGCAATGTAAAATATGCCTATGAATACCTTGGAAACTCATCACGCCTTGTCATTACTCCTCTTACAGACAGGTGTTATCGCACCTTGGTATGATCATACACCAGTGCTACTAAATTCTGTATTTACTGTAGTATAGTATTTCTTACACCGTTCGTTACAACCGTATTTTTAGGGCTTGCAGTTGCTGTCAGACTCTGTTAGTATCTGTTAACAGATATTTCTGTTAAAATGTTTCAAAGACTGTAATTTCTATAGAATATTGAACATGAAACTGGCTTACAACAACAAATCTGGACAGTACACCAAGGTGACATCAGTGGATTGTTATGTTGTGGATGTGTTTTTTAAAATACAAACAGGAAAAAATGCCCAATATTTTTATTGCTGTCTAGATTTCAAGAACACAAAATCCTTTTCTGATGTTCTGCGATTGCTAAATAAATTGGAGAAGGATCCACTTAGGATCATATTGTTCCACTTAGGATCATACTGTTCCTAGGACTAGAACAACAGTTTGGCAACTTTTTAGTATCCCTGCTCTTGATGTAGGTGTTTATTATTGTACTGGTCTATCCTCAACTAACCTGACAACTGAAACTTACCAAAGTCATCTCAGATATGGCTTTTCTGGCTGTTGTTCACTGCAGTTTATTTGGCTAGAGTATGGTTTCAAGTTTTCCTAGACATTCATCCTCCTCCTGTTGTAAGGTGGTAATTTTCACGCTGTGGAGACCTAATCACAAACTCCATAGGGTTTGATAATGAAAAGGTCTGAAAACACTGATGCATCTAAAGATATTTTTTTGCCCTCTTGGTACCTTCAGTTTTTATGGTGTGGTTGTAGCTGATGCTTGGTACCTATTTGTCAAAACATCAAGGTATATTGGTGTGAGAGGATGATGCAGCTGGTAGTCTGTTTGTTTTAGGCTCACAGACCTTGAATCTTGGAGCAAAGCAGTTGGAAGCCTGGCACTCTGCCAAATGGAAGTCTCGTCCTTTGCCCACCAAGGTCTTAATACAGTATTCCCAGTGCTTGTTAATGTAGATGTGGCCCTGTAACTGTGGATTGGAAGCCCAATACGTCTGAGTTTTTGTTCAGTCTGCAACTTTATTTTTTTCTGTCAGATTTTCCTCCTGCTTCAGTGGACTATAGGAGAGAATAGTGAATGGTCAATGGAATACACATGCAACAAAGGGCAGCAGTGTGGGAAAGAAAAAGAAATGAAGATAAAAGTGTATTAAAGGAGAAACAGGGATAGAAAAGAGTAGCAACCAAGTAATTGCATCAAATTGAATTTGAAAAATGTATCTGAGCCAGAACTGAAAGATTGGGTCCATTAAAGTTTGAGTAACTAGTCATGGTCATGATGATAATAAAACTAATCTCTGTTAAGGTCAAAATTCAATTCTCTTGTATATATTTCCAAGCTTGAGTAAATTTCAGATTATTTTTAAATTCGTATAACCATACTTTTTATGTTAGATACAAAGACTGTATGAAACTATGTAGTGCATTTTAATGTTTTCATTTGGAATAATTTCATGTGAATGAAGTACTAATAATTGCCATAAACTATTTCTGTTTCTTAGATTGGAGCCTTTTATTTAAACCTCGGTGGTGCCGCAGAGGGTCCAGCAGGGACAGGTAAAACAGAGACCACCAAAGACTTGGCTAAAGCTCTTGCCTTTCAGTGCGTTGTCTTCAACTGCTCTGATGGCCTCGATTACCTGGCAATGGGAAAGGTAAGTAGAAATAAATGTATTCTGTGTTTTATTTTTTAGCATGAAAATTATAGGGTCCCTACTTTGCAGAGACACTTAAATAATTATGGCACCTGTGCTCTGCAGTGCTTGAACACTATACTGGTCTCTACATAAATTTAATTTTCTGTGCTTTACAAAATCCTATTAAGTTGCTAATTAAAACATGAAAGAAACAAGAGTTCACAGGATCAGGAGCTTCTGATCTGGTGCTCTTTAGAACCAAGAAAAGACTGTTATTCAGTGCATCACTGATCTTTGCTCTAAACAGGCTTAGATATTATTATCGTAATTGTATCTTTCATGTAATTAAAATTCCAGCATGATACTCCTAGTTTCTTTTGAATCTTCTAAGCTTCCATTAGTGATATTATTGCTATTTTTCTTCATTTGCAGTTTTTCAAGGGTTTGGCTTCATCAGGTGCGTGGGCGTGTTTTGACGAATTCAATCGCATTGAACTGGAAGTGCTGTCTGTTGTGGCACAGCAGATCCTTTGCATCCAGAGGGCCATACAGATAAAACTAGAAACATTTATTTTTGAAGGAACTGAACTGAAGCTTAACCCCAACTGTTTTGTAGCTATTACTATGAATCCAGGTTATGCAGGACGTTCCGAACTTCCAGATAATCTGAAGGTAAAATAATAAAATACGTGCTTCAGCTTAAGAATGAGTTTTTCAAAAAAATTAAGGGACTGTTGTATTGCTGGTAGTAATTCAGACTGTAGCACCTGGAATATAAACATGTACTTGTACGATTTGCACATACTAAGCCTCTTTTTTTTTCTTTCCCCAAATACTGTATTCTTTTTGAAGGAATTTGAAATATTTTTTATTTTTCTTCTGTCTATTAGTGTTTTTCATTATTATTTTTCCAGGCCAAAGGCTGTAATACTGTAGCCAGGAAACTGGCAAATGTCAAGCTGTGGGTAGATTAGAAGATTTGAAGGCTAACTTTTTTAAGATGGAGGAGTATGTTGGAAAAAATGCTTTAAGATAGTATTTTTACATGGCATTTATTGTAGTCTTATTTAAAAGACGTGTTAGTGAACTACACTTGATGTGTGTAATGAATTTGCTTAGAGTACTTGAATAAATAGAAGCTTTGAGTTGATTGTTTTGACTAGATTAGCTGTTTCGTTGAGGAGGCTTGGATTTAGCAAAGTAATCTGGAGCCTTTTGGAACAGCATTTGTTCCTTAAGACTCAACGTAGCACATGACGTGCGGAAAGCAGACTCCACAATCTGTAAGATTGTAAAGTAGGTATGTTTATTCGGCGCCGGGCAGCACGGGTGGTAGTCCCACCAAAGTCGTGTGCACCGAGCAGCAAAGTGTCTCTTCAATTTATACGATCAAATATTACATATACATTAGATTTCCCAATACACATATACATATGCATCTATCCTCATTGCATATCAAAATCAGTTCCAAGAAATCATTTCCATATTATAATTAGTTCCAAGAAGTAATTTCCAGACTCCTCCCAGCTGCACTTGTGCAGTGCCTCCTAGTGGTGGTCATCGGGGGTCCCAAGATGAAGGCCCATCCTCTTCATCACGGTGTCCGCTGATTGACCTTTGTTTCTGCGCAAACTCAGTTCTCTCCTGGCTCCCATCCATACAGCAGGGTCGGTCTTGACCGGTTCTAGGCGACTCCCAGCCCCTATGAGGAGCCAACCCCTTTGTATGGAGATGCAAGATTGTCTTCTTCAGTTAATTTAGACAATAGATAAGCACTATCAGTTTTTTAAATGCACAGCAACTATTAGGTAATACCACTTCTATTAAAATCCCTTTTAACCCCTTCCTTCACACAATGCTGCTGGGCCAGAGCAAGTTGCCTCAGTTGGAACTATACTGTGAATGCTAACTTAAAGCAGAGCTCATGCAGCGTGAAGAGTATACCAGTTGCACCTTGCTTAAAGATGGGAAATGCATTCTCTCATCTGCCATGTACACCACCTTCCTTTGCTTTCTGCTGTGTTGGATGTATCAGTGTAAGAGGCAGACTGCATCCTTGAGGCAGTGGTGAGGGAAAAGAGCTGGGAGAGACAATGCTTTTTTTTTGCACCAGATTGTACGATCAGATGGATCTTGATGGCAGCTTACTTACATTAGCTTCCTAGTGAGTCGTAAGCCGCAAACATTGGTAATTCTTCTGTTTCATTGGATCCCAAATGTTCTGCAGGCCACTGCCTTCCACTGTAACAGTTTAAAATGATCCACAGCTTACCTCATTGTACTAAACAGTACTTCATTTAAAATGCTGTTACTATTTTCAGTTAGAAATACGGTGATGGGAAGATTACTGATCCATCACATGACATAGTTCTGCATTACTTTCTATTCCTGAATAAATTAATTATTTAAAGATATTTCTTTGGGTATGTGTTTCAGGTTCTTTTCCGAACAGTAGCAATGATGGTTCCTAACTATGCTCTGATAGCAGAAATTTCGCTCTATTCATACGGATTTTTGAATGCGAAGTCACTCTCGGTGAAGATAGTAATGACCTACAGGCTTTGTTCAGAACAGCTTTCCTCTCAGTATCACTATGACTATGGTATGCGAGCAGTGAAAGCTGTGTTGGTGGCTGCTGGGAATCTAAAACTGAAATTTCCCATGGAAGATGAAGATGTATTGGTGAGTTCCTGAGAGAATAATTCTTAAGGAATTTTACAGATGGATGTAGTTCTGAAGGCAGTTCCACCACGTCTTGTCACATTGCTGAGCCGTGTTTCTTAGCTTTGGAAATGGAGATAATAAAATACATGCTGCACTTTCTAGTATGCTGATGATCACACAGTTGTGCTTAACTGCTTATTAAAAGCACCATTTAATTAATTAATCTTTATTACATATTAGATTAATTGCTGAACAGTTTATTCTGTCTTTTTAAGAAGAACAGTAAAATGTATATGTATTCCCTCTAGCTTCTTAGATCAATTAAGGATGTGAACGAGCCCAAGTTTTTGTCACATGACATACCTCTGTTCATGGGTATAACTAGTGATTTATTTCCTGGAATCAAGCTTCCTGATGCAGACTACAATGTAAGTACACTTATAATTTTCCTTGGTCGTAATCGTTGGTTTTTTGTTTTTAAGCAAGTGTAATTAATACAGTAATTTGTGACTTGCTGCCAGATAAGGAAAATTGCTGACTGTTTGCCATGAAACTTAGAGGCAAAGAAAATTCTTGTGTTCCCTTACATCCAGAAGTGTAAGACATCCGGTAGATCAGAAACTGACCTGCAGATTTTCCAAGTTTTAGGGTCTTTGGCTGATTTCTTTCCTAATTTTTGTACATAATTAAGTGAAATTAAACTTTGTGTTTGTATTTTCTTTTGTTTATAACAACCATCAAAGTGTAGCTTCTTTGTAGGAGGATGTTTGGAAAGAAGATGAATGTGTTGGAAAAGACAAAATGGATTAACTGTTTAAAAATGTCCAATAAATCCTAGAGTCTCTTTAAAAGCGTATTTTTCCAAAGCACACTGTTGGGTTCCTGATGGTGATATGCTGTCTCTTCAAGATAAAAATTGTAGTTAACTCCTGTTCCTAGCATATGAAGTACAGAAGTGATTTTTTTTTCTCCAGGGATGTCTGCTATATTCTGATTAATAGTATTTCAATTATTAATTAGTTTGAAAAACTTATTGATGAGCATAAACTGTTCTAATGTAGTCCAAGACAGTATTTGAATTGTAACAATGATAAGATTATGATCTGTTTTGATTTTAGGATTTTCTGGAATGTGCCACCGAATGTTGCATTCGACATAATGTCCAACCTGTAAAAGCTTTTATAGAGAAAATGATCCAGACATATGAAATGATGATTGTTAGACATGGGTAAGATTCTCATTACAGTGTCACAAGCAGTATGTGTTGTAATTTTGGCTTACACTGCAGTGGTTATTTATGTCAAACATAAAAGGTCTTAAGTGTGGCAAAATGTAAATTTCTACTTGTATTGGAACAGTTGGCCACTGATACTGCTTTTACCTGTACCAAAATTCTTGTAAATCTGTATCTGAGGAATTGTACTGCTCTTGATATCGGAGGCAGCCTCACCTGTGTAATGATTTTAGGTGCAGATGTCAGTATGGTGAAGACTTAAGACTGTAAATGTTTGTCAGTATTAAAATATTAGTTATCAGATCTCTGCCATTTTATTCCTAGCTCTTATTACTCAATAGCAACTGTGTGGAGAACATATATACAATATGACATTAGTTGTATGATTGTTAATATTAAGCTCATTAATTAATCTTTTCAATGTGACATTGTTTTAGTCGCATCCCTCTGCTGGGTGACTAAAAAAGTTATTTTGAAATGTGGGCAAAGATCTTTTGATTTGTGTGTGTGTGTGTGTAGTACATGTTCATACTGTTTGTGTTCTTCCAGAACTTTGTTATAAACTCTGTCTAGACTGCAAATAAGCTAGAAAGTAATCTTTGATTCAGCAAATAAAGGAACTAGTGTGGTAGTAAATCTATGTTTTAGAGGGCAACTTGAGTACTGGGGCTGTGCAATCAGATTTGTGTGTGCGAATAAACAGGTTTTGTGTAATTGATGTTTCCTAGATACAAGCCAGATTTAATTGCTCTGCTTTTTGAAAATTAGGTGAAAGTTAGCTTTAAGCATATGAATGATGCTATTGGCCTTCATGTGGTCTGTAAAAGTCTAAATTGCAAGACAAATTTATTAATACCTTTTTTTTCTTTCCCCATCTAACAGCTTTATGCTGGTAGGGGAACCCTTTTCTGGGAAGACCAAAGTTCTACATGTGTTGGCAGATACACTGTCTCTTATGAAAGAGCGTGGTTATGGTGAAGAAGAAAAAGTAATTTTTAGAACTGTGAACCCAAAATCAATCACTATGGGTCAGCTTTTTGGGCAGTTTGATACGGTATCCCATGAGGTAATGTATGTTTTAGAAAAAGTGTATAGTAATTGCCCACCTCTATCTGTTTCTTCCTCTCACCTGCTGTGGCTTTCATGGGGTTTGTATGAGCATGGTTGTGTAAGCGTGTTCTGACTTCAGCTTAACTCATGGTGTTATTCCACAGTCGTTTTCAGGGTCAGGAAAGGCAGTTCACAAGGCTACTGCTTCTGGTTTTTAAGTCCTGATTCCAGACAGCATTTCTTCATCTGTTCCCTGGACTCCAGACAGTCTTTATAGGGCTGTGCTATAAATTAAATTACTGGTCTGGTTTTAAGAAAAAAGCAACAAACAGGCCAGTATGAGTTCAACACTAGGAGCTGATAATCCCGTCTGTTTTTTCTGCTTTGTAGTATTTTTAGTGCTTTCTTTTTTTGTCCTTTTCCTGTATATGTCAGACCTCCATTAGTCTGCATTGTAAACTGTTGAATTCGTATTTAAATTGAACTATGTATACTGTGTCTTACTTTTCATTCCTACATTCTTCTCCTCCAGTGGACAGATGGTATAATTGCTAATACTTTCAGAGAATTTGCATTATCTGAGACTCCTGAACGCAAATGGGTTATCTTTGATGGTCCAATTGATACTCTGTGGATAGAAAGCATGAACACAGTTCTGGATGACAACAGAAAGGTATCAGTCAGTGGAAATAAATGCCTAAATAAAATAATGTGACATTTTGCAAATATTCTATATATAAAACCATAAATGCGAACAACATGCCTGGCATTTGAAAAAAGCAAGTGCAAAGTGACTTTGGTAACAAGTTGTAAGCTTTTTTTTTTTTACTTTGCTTTATTGGAATCATAATCACAGGATCAACTCACTGCTATAAAACATTAAATGTATAGTATTTCCTTGATGTCATATTGTAAGTATGCAACATAAATAACTGAAATTTAAATTTAAAAAAATACATTTAATTATATTTCATGTAAATCCCACAGTTTCAAAACTTGCACAAACTTAGGCACTTACATCTAAAGACAATCGCAAGACAGAGAGTTGTGTTTTCAAAATTAATGACTTCTGAAGTCAAAGTTGTAACCGCACAGGACTTCTGAAAATGGGCCTTAGGAATCTCAAAGTGAATATAAAAATTAGAGACGACATTTCAAGTTTAAGTTCTGGATGATAGTGTGTCAGAATACTCAAACTGCACTTTTATTTTAATAAATAGGAATGGTGAGTCTCCAGCTGGAATGCTTCAGTATTAGCAACAATAGCGGCAGATATCCTTTATCCTTTCTGCTTGCTGTCTTTTCTTTATCCTGTCATACACAGGATTGATAGTTACCTGTAATGAACCTACTGGTAGGATAATGTGGATTACTATGGTTTAAGTGAAAAATTTAGCTAAAGCTTAAAAAGAAATAATTAATGCTCCAAGTGATTAAACATTTTATGGTTGACCTTGCCTTTGGTTATACTTGGTTTTGCTGATTTTCATATACAGCTCCTGTGATAGGAAGCATAATTTATGACTAAATATTTTTTTCCTAATCTTGCTTGTGATTTTTTTATTTTTCATTATTAAAGCTTTGTTTGATGAGTGGGGAAATCATCCAAATGTCCCTTCAGATGAATCTTATTTTTGAAACAATGGATCTTTCACAGGCATCAGTAAGTGTTGTATTTAATGAAAATATCAAACAAAGTTCAATATATTAAATGTATAATAAAATGAAATTACAATTTTTCCTTAGCCTGCTACAGTCAGTCGTTGTGGCATGATTTACTTGGAACCTTCTCAGCTGGGCTGGAGGCATTGGTTAATACCACCAGCATTAAGACTCCGTCAGAAACAGTGCAAGGTATTTTTTGCCTTTTTTTCCTGTAGTAGCTAGGTGGCCATTTCCATTCTGTTACCCAGGGGGAGACTATTATCTCGTGAGAAGCACAATTAGAATATTATGCAGCACCCTCCTGTTGTTTTGAGAAGGGCAACTCTTGGGTCCAGTTTGGAAAGACAAAATGAGAATGTTAGGCAAGACTTGTATTGCAAGTGGATCATAGTTTTCGCCTTGTTCTTTTCAGAAGTGAAATAAGTGTTCAAAGCACTGAGTGGAAAGTCTTCCCAGGATAATTTTGTACATATATTTTGTTGTTGTTGTTGTTGTTATTCTTGAAAATATCATGTTGAATAGGGAAGTACTTTTTTAACTGTTAGGGGAGATGTACATGCAGTTCCTTGCAAACTTTGTGTGATATAGTGCTTAGGCTTTTGCCTCTTGTATTGCTGTAGTTGCTTCTGTGGAGGTTTTTGTTTTAAGCTACATGATTGTAGTGGTCACATGGTAGTCATGAACACGATTAACAAGCTAAATGTCTTGACTTTTCAAGGACAGAGGATGGTAAATGATCTTTTGAATGAAAGTCAGTATAAACCTTGCCTTCTAATATTTGTTCAGAATTAGCTAATTGTGTAATTATTTTAGTATTTTAGCTCCAAAAGAAAAACTAAATGAACACGTAAAGTATAATACCCATCCTTTCGTATCTCTTAGGAACTGGTACCTACAAGCAATACCAATGTTGTAGTAGCTCTTACACGGCTTTTTGAAATGTTGATTTGTCAAACTGTGCAAGAAGATCCCACCAACAGAAACATCCGTGCATGGATTATGGTTGGTTCTTTTGACCTGTAGTAAAATGTACATCTGTTTTTGCATATGCTGGTCTTCAAAAATAATTTGACTCATCAGAACAACTTTAATTTGGGATAAGACACATGTAAAACAATTTTGTTAGCTCCTTGCTCCCTCCCTCCAAACTTTGGAGATGCCCAGATGAGACACGTCTTACAAGTTACAAATATGATTAAATATTTACCTATTTTTCCAATTAACTGAGATAAATAATGTTTTTGTTAAATGTGCTTTTTAACTAACCAAGTAATTAGCCAAAGCAAAGTGTCTTGTTTCCCTTAAAGGAAATAAGTGCTCATGTAATACTGATTGGCTTGTTTGAGCAAGATTTCCTTGGGAAGAGTGTTTTCTGAGAGTTATATTAGTTGTATGCTCTGTCTGACCTTATATGACTATCCTTATAAAAAGTGAAAAAAACAGAATGTAAAAGTATTTATTTAAAATTGAATTAGAAAATTCCTAGATCCTGTTTGTGATAAAACCTCAATCCTGTGGTCTCAGGATTTTCTAATCAGGCTTTTACATGTGATGTAATGCTTTATTCAGTGGCCTTTATTTTTTGTCATACATATATATCCTTAAATAAGGTTCTTTCTTTGCTCTGTCTTTAATCAGATTTCTAAATCTCTTTAGACCAGGGCTATACAAGGGTAACCTGTAACACCTATCCGCTTAACGGTATTTTTCAGAATTATGTTTATTAATCAGACTGTGCAAGATTCATATAATATGTCAACTTTTTAGACCTTTTTGCTCTTGTAGGGTTGCTTTGCCTTTGCCACAATCTGGTCCATTGGTGGAACTTGTGATGGTGACAGCAGGATAATTTTTGATAATTTCTTGAGGGAAACTTTGGCTGGGAAATCTGGAATAAATCCTGTACCAACGAGTGTGGGAAAATGGGAGTGTCCCTTTGAAGAGAAAGGCTTGGTCTATGACTACCTGTATGAGGTATGATTGATTGCTTCTCCGCTGGCTGAGGTAGATTCTTACAGTCGGAAAGGCAGGAAAATATAGACAGATGGATATTGTAACTTTACAAAGATTGTTGGGTGTTGCAGAGTGTTGATGTTGGATCAAATCCTACAGTGCATTTTTAATTTATTTTTCTTTTTTTAATACTAATATGCTGACCAAATTTTTTTAGAAAGTAACAAAATATACACATCAGTTCTATTTATAATGTTGCCACATTATAGTTACTCTGTAGCTAAAGCTAAGCTGACAGACTCAAATCTGGTTTCATATAGAAGGAAGGATGGGGGCTGTCTAGAAGGAAAGCAGGCTGTTGAGCACATAAGCAGTTTGCTCGTATTAGAATTTTGTTTATAGTATCCATTAGAAATGTTGTATTATAATTACACTTTCTAATTTTTACATATGTACTTCTGTTGGGTTTTTGTTTGGCTGAGCAAAATCTTTAAGAAAAAAAAGGAGTCTAAGCTTAGGTAAGTAACACTTTGTTAGTGAGATAAAGCAAACTAAATATATGAACTTCTGAATCATTTAATATTTGTTAAGTTGTTAAAATTCATTATTTTCATTTGTCAGTGGCGTAGTAGACAAAACCTTCCATATGTATAGAAGTAACACCATTCTGTTTTACATCTGTATTTCTTCCTAGCTGAAAGGCAGAGGATGTTGGGTTCATTGGAACAGATTTATTAAAAATATTAATTACAGTGATAAAAATGTGAAGATTCAAGATATTATAGTCCCAACTATGGATACAGTCCGATATACGTATTTGATAGAGCTATTCGTTTCACGTGGAAAGTAAGTTATGTCCCTTCAGTGCCAGTTTCTGAAATATTGTTCATAGGTAGAAATATCCCTTATTCTTTCCATTACTTCAATGGTTTTATCAAGCCCTCAAAGTTTATTTGGTCTGTTAAAAATAGACATTTACTACAAACAGTACACTTTGTTGCCTTAAAGTCTATTTTGGGTTTTTTTAATGAAGCCTTATTATAATCCAGTTTCAGTACGATTGTTCCGATGATGCTGTTACGACAGCCCAAACTTGTTTTATACCCTCTTTCTTCTTTGGTAATGAATTTTTTTTTTTCTTTCTTTAGTCATCTCAAAATCAGTTTTATTAGCTCTGGTCAGATCATATAAGATAATACAAACCAGCCTCAGGTTAAATTTCAAGGCTGAAAGTTTTATGAAATTTAAACTCCTGCAAGACCAATCAGAAGAAATTTTACTTTCGTGTATGTTCATACATACTCCTCCAAAGCCAGTAGAATGAGGGAATGATAAATGTGTCTTTCTCTTTGTCCACTGTGTGTTGTTGGTGGGAGCAAACTAAAATGATGAGAGGGTTATATGAAAAAAAGGATTTTAGTTGCTTCTTAAGGCATGTAATGTTTTCAGAGGTAGAACAAGCAGGGCAACTTCATAAAACCTTTGACTTCTAGTTGCAATCAGTTTATAGTTTGTTAGATTTCTGCTTGCTTTCTTTATGAAGACCGCTGCTTTTAGTGGGACCAACAGGTACTGGGAAATCTGTGTACGTCAAGAACAAGTTAATGAACAACTTGGAAAAGGAGCGCTACTTTCCCTTCTTCATTAATTTTTCAGCTCGAACCAGTGCCAATCAGACCCAGGTTAGTAGAACAGATAATTTATGTTACAAAAAGAGAACATGTATGAATATTTAATCTGTTTTGAATATTCCCATCTGCATCACAGAACATTATTATGGCCAGGCTGGACAAGAGGCGCAAAGGAGTCTTTGGCCCTCCAGTGGGAAAAAAGTGCATTGTCTTTGTAGATGATATGAATATGCCTGCTTTGGAGAAGTATGGTGCACAGCCTCCTATAGAACTTCTAAGACAGTTCTTTGACCATGGATTTTGGTAATTATTTGAAATACAATTGAAATTTTTTTATTATTACATTTGTTGTTATAATTATTTATTCACTTGAATTTTACTTTCAAAACTTTCTTAAAGTGCTTTGTAAATGTTAGGATGGCTTTGGTTTATATAAAAATATGTTATTTAAAGTTGAAGCAACTTCTGTGTTATTTTTTAAGTGACTTTTCAATTTAGGAACGGATCATCAGATTTGTTTGGGGTTTTTTAGACGGTTTTATTGCTGAACTTCAGCAGTGTTTGTATATATAAATAAATCGTTCCTTTACACCTGGATTTTTTATGTCTGTGTTTTTCATTGTTTTTATTTTTCCAGTGCACTTCCTTGTTTCTTTCCTTTCTTTTCCTCTTCAAAGTGAATTGGTAGTTATATATACATATATTTTTATATGCCATTATATAAAACTTTTGGTTTTACTCATTGCATTGGTTTTTACTGTCATCCAAGATTTTATTAGTCACCACATTTGTTTTTAACAACATTTCAGAATAATTTTGTTAGATAACAATGAAATGAGATCTGGTAATAGGCATGAAGTAAAATAAGCTAAAGATCTTCTCTGCTTTTGAGGTTTTTGGCTCTTCTTAGATTGGAACGGGTGCTCTCTGGAGGTCACCTCCAGCCTGAATTATTCTGTGATTCCAGGCACTTCTCAAATATCTGTTGCTCTTGAATAGAGATAATATATCTTGCTGTATTACAGTTTTAAATAATTATCTCAAAATTTCATGTCCAGTTTTATGTAACCCAGTTTAAGCAAATAATCTTTCTTTCAGACCAGCATATGATGTGATGAGATTAGCTGGCACATAGTTATAAGACTAATTGGTTTTTTGTTTGTTTGTTTTAAAAATACAAAATATATAAAAATATATATACTGTTATATATTACATGCTATACTTTTTATATTCTTAAGTACATATGTATCTAAGCTGTAAAAAATGTTTTATATCCGTAACTATTTAAATGTCACATTGCAATTTGTTTTGAAGGTATGATTTGAAGGATACATCTAAAATTACACTTGTTGATGTACTGCTGCTTGCTGCCATGGGGCCTCCAGGCGGTGGGAGAAATCCTGTTACCCCTCGATTTTTGCGACACTTCAACATTTGCACTATTAATCCTTTTAGCGATGAAACAATGGTCCGCATCTTCTCTACTGTAGTAGCTTTCTACCTACAGACTAGTGAATTTTCTTCTGAGTTCTTCACAGTTGGAAATCAAATTGTCACTGCCACTTTAGAGGTAAGAGGCAAACACTGTGATAGAAGCTGCTTTTGAATTGTTCAGTAAAGTTCCACTGGTTCTGTAATAATGTAATTGATGAAGTAGAGATTTTAGATATTTTGTTCTTTGTTATTTTTAATGTACATCCTCTTCTTACATCTGCTTTGACAAAATTGTCTTAGTTTTTCGTGCTGCAGTAACCTTCTTATTCTAGGAGATTTGTCTTTGAATTTGTGTTAATGTGGGGTCTATGGTACTAGTCCACATAATGTCAAGTAGATGAGACTGGAATCTCTAGACAAAATGAAAATATCAATTGCAACCCTTCCAAAATTCCTTCCAGAGAGACTAAGAATGAAGAAATCACCCCCTCCACTTTTCTCCTTCCCCTCCTAATTTTTATGCTAGTTATGAACACATCACAGCACACTAAGGAAGCCAACGTGAACATGCAGCTTTGTAGAATCTTGACTCCAGTATGACAAAAGGCATCACGTAAGTGTTGTGAAACTGAAAGCCATTAGGCCCAGCTGTATGGAATTTCCAAATGTTTTGTGAAGTTCTATGGTACAGATTTTGGCAAGTATCACATTTGCAGTGTACCATACACCTAAAAAAGGGAATGGCAATTCATGACATTTTTGCAAAGAAGCAGTAAGTTACAGACGCAATATCAACGTATAGCTTTGTTGGCTTATTGTGTAGCAGAAATCAGTAGCAGTGTGAACAAATCTGTTGCCTACTATAAGTATTCATCATGGAAATGCATAAGGTAGCTAATATTTGACCAATGAATAATTCTGACAGAAAATCTGATCAGCTTCAAAGGCAAAATCAAATGGCGAAATTCTCATGGGGGATGTGACTTCCTTCTACTGCAGAACTGAGGCCTTTCTCAGACTTTTCCATTAGTTCTACTTATACCCAAGGACATACTGAAGACTGAATCCATCTCATTCCAAGGACTTGCAGAGCTGGTATTTCAGAAATATCGTTAGATGGTACGTTCAACAGATGAATCACAAAGCTGACTGACTACTGCCACTAGAAATCTTTTTGTAGGTTCAATTAATCCTTCCAAAACAAACAAACAAACAAACAAAAAAGTAATTCGCAAGAAATCCGCAAGTTTTGCTTTAAAGAGAAGAGTAGCAGCTACTAGCAATTTGAGTGCGTTTGACTACATGTACATCTTAGACCAGTTTCAGTGCTGTCTTTTAATACAGTCATGCAGGTACTTCTCATCAGACTGCATCAAAGTTTGTTTGTGCTGTTAGACTCTTACACATTTAGCTGCTAGAGACTGTGTTCTAACATGGATTTTGTCCTGGTAAGAAATACCTTCCAACTCCTAGGGTTAAAGTATGATAGAAGAACTGGGCTTTGGAATTGGCTTTGGACGTGGGACAACAGGTGAAATGTGTACTCAGTGCAATGGATATAGTCAAGCCTGTAAAACTTGATTTTACTGTACTTCTTTTTTTAACAGGTTGACATTTGATAGTTGTCTTCACCTATAAGTATACAGAGACAGATTAAAAGTTTCCTTTGTCAGCATTCACTTCAACGTGGTATTTATGTTCAGTGTAATGAGAAATGACACTATTTCAGTCATATGGCATGAGCTAATGACAGCTGATGCATTCCAAATTAAAGCAAAACATAGACAAAAGACACTTTTCTTGATCTGTCTATTCCTTCAGCATTTTTACTGACTATTTAGTTTTGTGTAATTTGTTTATATACAAACAAGTAGATTCAAACAACTGAAAATCTATGAAGTTACCATTACATATCATTCAATACTTCACTTAAGGAGGATATCATATAATTAAAGGAAGTGAAGAGATCAGAATGATATTCCTGGTCCTACAACAGGTCTTTACAGTTGCTACAATTACTTTTCCAGCTTGCAAATTTAGGTTAGTTCCAGAACTGCATGAGGTGCATCTGATATATTCAGAGGACTTTGAGATCTTTAGACGTTATTAGGATTTATTAAGTGTGAAATGTTTTTCTTGGTGAAATAAAATTTAAAAAGACATTTAAGATTTATTATAATAATATGGTCGGTGTTCTGTTTTGTTGATTTTGTTCTTTTTTGTTGTTATTATCTTAAGGTGTATAAGAAAGCCATCAAAAATCTTTTGCCCACACCAGCCAAATCTCATTATACATTCAACCTGCGTGACTTTTCACGTGTTATCCATGGCTGCTTGCTCATTAAGAGAAAATCAGTTGAAAGCAAACACGTAATGATTCGGCTGTTTGTACATGAGGTATTTCGTGTCTTCTATGACCGTCTAGTGGAAGACAATGATAGAGCCTGGTTGTTCAATTTAATGAAAGATATTGTGAAAGAACATTTCAAAGAAGCATTTGATTCAGTTTTTGCACACCTGAAGCAAGGGAACACAGCTGTGAGTATCGTGTTTAACCTGTTCAAAATAATTCTTTTCATTATAAATTTAGACCTAGAAAGTTTCTCAATCACAGGTGAAATTTTGGATCAAATGTGCTTGAAAATTTGAGTTGAATTTGGAAAAACAGTTTCTTTGGGAAAAAAAAAAGAGTAAAACTGTTTGGAAGGGTTTAACTGTTGTACGTTAATATCGTTTTCAGAAACATTCAATCTACAATGTGGGTGTACTTACTACTTTTCCGTAAAAATATTTTGTGTATCTGACAGTGAAAGAAAAACTTGTTTCTTATTCAGTTAAAAAAAAAAGTGCAAAATTTTTTCAGATTTACCCAAAAAACCCTGAGTATTTATATCTTACAAATTTTAATTTACCAAGCATAGCGTTTTATTAAGCTCCTATAGATGTCTGCACATAGAAATATAGCATCCAATTAATCAGTAGCTGCATAGAGCAACTTTTCAAAAAAATTCTGTCACTTTTTCTCGGAGATGTAGCAGCACGTGCCGAATGTTTGGGCAATGGGAGATAACAGAAAAAAACAGGTAACTTATAAATCACTGTCACAAAGTAGCTGGGATCTGTGCATAGTACAGTACCTGCAAGGAGAAATACAAGTATCAATACTCTTAAATGGCCTTCCAGTGACCTGATTTACAGGACAAGGAGACATTCCCTTTTTAAATGTGACTGAGTTACTGTGTAGTAAACAGAATTCTGTAATTGTTATGTATTTAAAATGTTGCAGAATCATGTTATACTGTATGCATTGACTTCCTTTTTTCTGTTTTTCTTTTTTCCTTTCCCTGTCATTTAACTGATGTATAGAAGAAATAACTTCGTGGTCTTAGTTGTCCATTTCGTAATATATTGAAAATTGCTAAACATACATCTGTATAAATTTGATGTAATCTGAAGGTCATGATTATGAGATTGTTAATGACTATTTGAGCCAAATGTATTTCAAGAACACATTAAGAAAAAGTATATTGTTTAATATGGGAAATAGAGTATTTTGAAGTGCGTGTTGTCTGTGAGTCAAAATATTTCAGAGTGCTTGTTCTGATGTCTCAAGTATTTGTCTACATCCTCCATTGTTTACTAAAATTACAATGAGGAATATGTTCATTAAATATCAAATTTTACTTCATAATTTGTTGAATATTTACCATAGGTAACTGAAGAAAACATGAGAAGTTTGTTTTTTGGTGACTACATGGTTCCAGAACATGAGGGAGGTGAAAGACTTTATGTTGAAATTCCAAGCATTCAGCTGTTCGGTGATGTTGTGGAGCAGTGTCTGGATGAATATAATCAAATCCACAAAACAAGAATGAACCTTGTAGTTTTCAGGTGCGTACAATCTGTATTAGTAAGACCTCTAAGCAGTAGTTGATAATTGAGTATATCCAATTTTATGGGCTGTTGTTTTTGTATGTCTCCTCCCCTTTATGCATCCACAGAAGTGTCTGTGGTGTTACACCTTTTTGGATGGAAATTAACTGATTTTTCTCTTATGCCTCTGCTTTTTCTATCCAAAAGTGAATAATGATAAGTTTTTCTCCTGAGAGTCTTTGAGTATATTCTTTGGTTGTTATAGAAACATTTCTGTGTAGAAATCAGGTGGGTGCTCTGCTCCTGCTAGGCCTTTGTTACCGGTGAAGATGGACGTCAGTTTTGCCTGCAGCCACTGGACTTTCATTTCACCAAGGACAAGGTTTCTAAGGTTGTGAGGTGCAGGGTGAGATACAGCACAATCGTGGCCGTCCGTCTGCTCTGTTATTATGCAGCATATGCGTGCCCCTCTTTGGGGCACGTACCCAGCTTGGTGCTGCAGCTGATTAGCTGTGAAATTTTAGACTCTGCAGGCTGCTGTTATTACCTTAACTTGTGATCAGGCAGAGCTGTAACTGAGACAGATTAGGAGGTCCCAACTCCTTCCTCCTCCCTATTGCTAGAGAGTACTGCCTCTTCATATTCGCTAGTGTATAACTTGACACATAGATGTTCTGTGAAAGTGATTAAGGGTTAGTTTAAACACTTCTGATAGCAGTGTACTTTAGTCTAGGTCATTTTGACAAGCTGGATTTGTGAGTACCTGCGTATACAGCTATGCTGGGAGCTTGAAGAGCTGGCAGCCTCTGAGCAGAGGCCACTTCCTGAGTGCAGAAGCAATATGCCAGTTACCTCATGGAACTGCAGCCAGGGGAGCACGTCTGACTGTAGCCTCAGAGTCCAATCTCATGGAGAACGTCTGCATTTGACTCCTTTATTTTTCTAACCAATCAAAATGATCAAGAATTCATCTTTTTTGAAATGCTTTAACATTTTTTGAGACCACTTTTAACTGCTGCTCAGCTTACTTTAACTGCCCCATGCCCTGTGCTTAAGCAGGTGATCTCCTGTAGACCTGTTTGCAAATTCTGAGATGAACTGTGTTTGTGTTTTCACAATAGATAGGACTCTCAGTAATGTGCAGATACTGCTTTCTGAAGATGTTGTTCCAATACCTATTTCACACAGAAGTTATAAAAACACTGTCAGAGGCAGAGGAGGGGTTTGTTGATATAACCAGTTTTTCCACAGGTATTCCTTTAAAAAGCATTTAAACTGTTATCCTTGAAGAGAGTTAAAACTGCTAATACTGGTATGATTTAGAAGTAAAGAATTTCTGTTGTTTTTCTTTTTGTTTGACGTCTTTATCCATATAGTGCCCCTGTTCTCATTGCTGCCAATTCCTTTTAGTAGTCATTTGTGATTTAGCTAAATAGTGAGATTTGTATAATAGAAGACTTGTGAGTTTTATTTTATTTTGTCGTGCATACCCACTTGTTTTCTGCCCCCCTCCCACCACCTCCCTGCCTTCAGAAATTTGTTCCGGAGATGCTCCTTCTACACTTATTTCACAGATCTGTAGCTGCACAACTGTGTATGTATTTCTGCCATTCTCATAATCAGCACATTTCAAATATAGGTATACGTTGGAACATTTGTCTCGTATAAGCCGTATTCTGAAGCAGCCAGGGGGTAATGCTTTGTTGGTTGGAATGGGAGGAAGTGGACGTCAGTCTTTGACTCGTCTAGCAGCATTCATGGCAAAAATGTGTGTTTTTCAACCAGAGATTTCTAAGATCTATGGTGCAAATGAGTGGAGAGAAGATCTGAAAGTGAGTATTGATAACCTGTCTGCATTTTGACTTCATTTTGAGGAAGGATGTTTTGGAACGTACAGTAATTTACTTGTCTTGCATTTTCAGAGTCTTCTGAAGAATGCAGGTGTAAAAGGCTTGAAAACTGTATTTATAATCACAGATGCACAAATTAAAGAAGAAAGCTTTTTAGAAGATGTTGACAGTGTCCTGAACACTGGGGAGGTACCCAGTCTTTTTGCAACAAATGAAAAACAAGAAATTATAGAGGTATCTTTAGAAATTCTCTTTAATGTCACCTCCCTTTTAAGCTGTTTTGTCAGTTCAGTGTGAAGTGTGGCTTTTGGATAAATGCACTTAATTCTGTGACTTTTTTTGAGGCCTTATGTAAATCAGCCTGTTATTAGTAAACTTATGGAGCAGCTTATGTTTACTACTAGCTTTAATTCTGACTTGGTGTTCTGTTCACAAACACGTTCAATTGTGCATGTAGGCAACTTTAATTGTTCACAAATACCCTGTGGCCGTATTTATTTTTTGCAGTCTATTGTGCAGAAGAAGTACGTACATCATAATGTTTTCATTGATCAGTTAAGGACAAAGACACTTTTTGAGAAAACACAGCCTGCCTTTGTCAATATACTCTTGCTGTCCAGAGCACTAGGGCATTGTCAGACAGAATTTCATAGTCTTGACATTTCTTCTCAGAGGGAAGTTGGGGAAGGGTGCTCCATGAATTCAAGCTTGGAAGTAAAGACGCAATGTACTCGGGCAATTTTTTAAAAAAATCTAACTGAAATCAGGCTTGGATTTTCAAAATAGCAGTCACCAGTTAGGAGGGAGAAGCATCAATCTTTGTGTACATTGGGTTGGAAACTTACTGTTAGCTAACAATATTTGTAACTATATGCTGTGCTGTCTTTATATCTCTGTGGTATGTTTACTAATAAATTACCTAGGTATGCTTCTAGTTGACATTCAGAGTGGTTCTTAGTACATATACAAATGTTCTTTATTGAAATAGCTATATTACTTGATAAATGTTAATGTATTGTATTTTCTTGAGCTCAAGTTATGGAGCATGTTGATACCTGCATTCCATGTATTTTGCAGAGAAGTTAGATTATAATTCTGATCATCTTTCTCTATTGCTTTTTCATTCTTGCCAGGTATACAATAACAAGATTAAGATAATGTGGCTGTTTTACAATTACACAGTTTGTACAAACATATTCACTTGTTGTGTGCTAGAACTTGGTGGCTATCCATAATATACCAACTGGAGCAAGGTTGTTTTTTACCCGTTTAAATCTGCTCATCAAAATTTTTCCACTTTTACTGTATTGCTACTAAACTGATTTTTGTCATTTATTTTAATTGTGGGATTGTGTAAAGTACGTGCTTTTGTGGAAGAATAATTTGAGCTTTAGGGGTTTGTAGTCATTATTGCATGGATTGTTAATTAATTGAGGACAATACTTTTATGAAGTAGTCTTTCATTTCAAATCTAGAGGTGTTTTCTTGTTTTGAGAGACTGTTGGTTTTGGTGAATGAAGGAATGGAATATGTTTTGATGTATGAAACTTAAAATCTTCTTCTGCAATTAGGTAAACACAGCACATTTTAGTATAATGTTAAAGCTGAAAAAGTTCTTAGTGAGTTAATGTCCTAAATTGTTGTTTAGGAGACTTATCAGGCACTTAAAGCGTAGATTATGAGAAAAACATTTGCTTTTGTGTGAGAGTAGTGATTTGCCTCATCTGTTTGTGTCTCGTAAATCTTCGAGTGACTTAAGATTGATTGTAATTAAGCCTGATAGTTGTATTTATCATTAGAAGGCTTTGGCTCTTTATTTTTTGAGGGAACTAATTATAAGTTTTGATTTTTCAGAATGTGTGTTAACTCTCTGTCTCATCTCAATGTGTCTTATCCATCTGGAACTCATCTTAGGATGGATTTTTAGTTTTTGTTCTAATGTATTCTCAGTTGCTCCAAACAGCAGATGATCATTTCTAGAAAGAGTTGTCAGAGTCACAGATAAATATCATAATCCTGTTCTCAAATAGTTATTACTTGTTCTGTTTTTCTAATTTATTCTACCTGTTTCATTTATAAAAAAAAAATCATGGTGGTGCTGTCATTAACATGATTGCTGTAGGACTTCAGAAGTGCTTAATGAGAAATTATATAACAGTTTTTACCCTATGTATTATTCCTAAGGGTGTTCGTGCAATAGTTCAGGCTGGCAACAAACATGAAGAACTCAGTCTCTTGGCCTTGTTTGCATTTTTTGTGAACTGCTGCAAAGAAAATCTCCATATTGTGCTAGCATTCAGCCCAATTGGAGATGCTTTCCGCAATCGTCTGAGACAGTTTCCCTCACTCATCAACTGCTGTACTATTGATTGGTTCCAGGTATGTGAAAATATTTATATTGTTTCCTCAACAAACTACTTCCATTTTCTACCAATCCGTATTTTCATGTCCCATTAGATTTTCGCTTGTCTTCCGTATAAAAGTACTCTATGTTTTTCAAAACTTTAAAATATCATAGGCATTTTTTGTAATCTTTTGGGAGGTCTTTGGTGTGTAATCTGAGTGTTTCTACAAGTAAACAAACTTAAATTTTGTTGCTACAGATTTTAGGTTTCTGAAGTAGTGAATAGTTGATGATGGTGATTTGTCATTTTACCGTATAACATGTATGTTTTAAAGGACTAGAGAAATCATTTCAATGTGATTGTGAAATGATCATAATTTCTACAGCCTGGTAAACAGATCGTGCATCGTGAGAATGACTAGCAAATACAAGTTCTGTTGTTTATTAGTAGATTTTTTATAGCAGAATAAAACTTGGAAAATTGCTGTAGTGAATGATCCTTGCTGTAAACAGTGTTACTCTCAATAAAGTGCAGTTAGCTCTATGGCTTGGCCTGGTGCTGATGACAATTAATTTTTCTGCTGAAGGGTGACAGAGACACAGAAGCGTTTGGCTAGAATGGCAATAACTAGCTTTTAACTAGAAGATCAGCCAGGAGTTACCATAAAAGATTGCATGGGTAGTGAACTTGCTGCCTGATCTAAGCCTTGTATCAGTTCATTGTTCCTGAGGCACAGCTGGACTAGTGTGTCTCATTCTGGTGTTTTGAACAGTAAATGTTATTTTTAAAGTATGAACACTACTAACAGCTGAATTTTACAAATGCTTCTCTCCTCACTTCTCCCTCAGCCATGGCCTGAAGATGCCCTTGAATGTGTGGCTAATAAGTTCTTAGAAACACTTCAGCTCACAGACAGAGAGCGTCAGGAAGTTGTGCCCATCTGTAAATACTTTCATACATCAGTTCAGTCACTCTCTGTAAGGTCAGTCTGTTTCTTTTGAAAACAACTCATTAATTTATAGAAATATTAAGAAGGAAAAGATTGTGCTGTCAAAAGTAATAAATTGAACAACAGAGAACTCAAAAGTTGAATTTTTAAAAGTAAGTAACAACAAAATAGTAGATGATTTGAGTTTCGTTCCTGCCCATTTCAGTATTAAAAGTTAATGTATGCTGTCTGCCTGCATAAAAGTATTATATAAAATTGTCAAAATTGTTTAGTCCTATGATTGGTCAAACAGTTACATAACTTTGCTAACAACAGTTAAACTAAAAAAAGAAAACAAAATTTGAAGGTACTGTTTTTTCTAGGTTCTTGCAAAGTCTGGGATGCCATAATTATGTTACTCCTACTTCTTATCTTGAGCTTATTGCTACGTTTCGGAAACTTCTTACTCAGAAACGAGGCACTGTAATGAAAGCCAAGAAGAAGTACATGAATGGACTAGATAAACTAGCTTTTGCTGAATCACAGGTACGTTAGGAAAAAATTGGAACTGAAAATACAAAATGTTTGGCAAAATCAGGTCATTTCCTGGAGGAGTCAGTCAAAAGCATTACTTCACATTTTGTTTAGCTCAATCTTCAACAGTAAAACTGTAAGAAAGAGATTTTGTCTTTTCTTTCCTACAGTCATAGCAGTTGTGCTAGAGGCCACAGACCTCTAAGCATGTATTGCTAAGCAGTATATGAACAGAACTTCCCTTTCCTAAGGGGTTAACAGGTGACTATAAGTGAACATAGTTCTTAAAGATTGTACATATGAGATAAAAAGAAGTCTCTGAAGTGTTTTGATTTGAAACTGAATGTTATTTCCTTCTATCAATAAACTAGTCATTAGGTAAAATCCAGGTCCTATAGAAATTGTTGGAAATTTTACTTGGTACTTCTGAATCCTGCCTGATTCTTTTGCGTATGTATAGGTTGGTGAGATGAAACAAGAACTAGTTCAACTGCAGCCCAAACTGGAAGAGGCTAAATTGGATAATGCAAACATGATGAAGGTAGAGTTACACAAATACAACTTTGTGGGTTTTAATGTAAGCATGCGTATACTTGGGATCCGTAGTTTCACTGTTGTAATAATTAGCTTTGAGTGAGGAGTCTTAATCATACAATGTACTTCTACTGCAGTATCTCAGCTGATTGTAGACAGGTTCTAAAGAATATGCCTATGTAAGGTTCTTGATATGTGACTTTCAGAAAAATAAAGCTGAGTTCAGGTATTTGAGCTCACTTCTTGTTTACTGGGGTTTGCAGTATTGTGGAACTTGCCACTATTTGTGCTTATATCCTTAGAACTGGAAAATTGTGTCCTTTATGTAAGATACAGACTCTGGATGTATAGTCCTTGCCTAAGCTCCATGCTGAAGGATGTTAGAGGAACTTTCCTGCTAACAGTGGTTAGACTGGATTTCCCAAGATCATTCACAAACATTGCAAAAACAACAAATAGTTCTTCGGCATACTAACAAGAATAGTTTTGCACAGTCTGTCTTTGCATGCACAGGGATTATACGCTTGATTTTTAAAAGGATCCTGAAAAGGATTAACTTCATAGAAATTTAGTGGGATGTAGAAACCAGTCTCTTTGGTGTTTTTGAAAATTCTGACTTGCAAAAATACACTTACATATGTTACTGTTGCATCACAGAAAAGCAAAATTTGATTGACCTCTTTATGCACTTGCTTCTGATTTGTGTTTTTACAGATACAGTAATATCTCTTCTACCTAGTGTTACAAACGTCTGAGAAAACTAGGTATCACTTGTGTAGAACTGGAAAGGGAGTACTTGAATGTGGGCTTGACTGATCACTGAAAAGAAAATAAAATTTCAGTAGTCAACATTATAGACTATGAAGCTATGAAAACTCACTGTAAAAGCTAGTCATTTTTAGTAACAGCCTGATGCACAAACATGAAGAGTTTCTCGTCTCCTGAACTTCAAACATTTTTTAAATAGCTTTTTTTGACAGTAGTCTGATTTCATGCAGTTTACCTACTGTTAAAGCTCCATGATGATATTGCATTATGCTAAGAAACAATTTATTCCCCTAACATAAATTGATAATATATGAAAATATTGAAATACTTCAATTTTCTGTTTATATTTTACAGTTTTCCCTAAGTGCTGTACTAGGTGATTTCAGTTTATTTGGTCATACACTGCTCAATAGGAAGCTCATTCATATGTTTTTCTTTAGACAATAGAAATAGAATCTGCAGAAGTAGAACAAAAAAGAAAAACTGTAAAAGTAGATGAAGAAATTGCCACAGAAAAAGCTGAAGAAGCTCAGACATTGAAAAATGAATGTGAGAGTGACCTGGCAGAGGCGATCCCAGCCCTGGAGGCCGCACTGGATGCTCTTGACACTTTGAAGGCAAGCTGATCTAAACTTCAGCATTTGAAAGAGTTATTTAGCATGGTGAAACTCTTCCATTTATTTGGGAAAGAATGCAATAAGACGAGAAGATTGTGGAAAGTGTTGAATTTCCTCAGTTTTGGCAAAAGAGAGGATCTGTACAGTCGTTGTTCAGTATATTTCCTCTTCATGTACTCGGAATACAAAAGGCATTTAAAAAATTGTTTATTTGCAAGAAAGCTCACTTGTGGGAAAAGTAACCAAAACCTGAATTTACCAGTAGTGGTATCAGCTGAATTTCCTCTTTCAGCTAAGTTAATGTTGACCACCAGTGTGTAACATAGTATTTGTTTATGGCTAAGAATTATCTGAATCTTTGGTTTACAGGTTTTGTGCTTGTCGTGACTTGCATGTAACCTGAACATAGTATTGTTGAGAAAGTCTGGCAGGAATTCAGTATAGTAGGAGGTGGTTTAGTAGGAATTATGAAGTATATGAGATGTCCAAGATGACATTTTGTATCAAAAAATATTCTGACCTGGACTTTTTGAAACATAATTTTTATTAATCATTAGTTTACAGTTACTAGCGTTTACTGGGTTTTTATTTCCTCTGCATGGATACATAAATACATACTGTTATTATCTTGCTAACACTGTATCATCCATTCTAAAAGTCCTCTATATTTTTTTATTTGGTAACGGTGTTATAATTTTCCTTTTCTTCTGTTAGTTCTTTTATTTTAGTGGTGGGAAAGACATAATATTTGTCGTGATTTTTTTTAAATTTGATTTTTATTTCAGCCTTCTGATATATCAATTGTCAAATCAATGAAAAATCCTCCATCTGGTGTCAAACTTGTCATGGCTGCTGTCTGTGTCATGAAAGACATAAAACCTGAAAAAATTGCAGATCCTTCAGGGACTGGAGGCAAGGTAAAATGGCAGACAATTGTTTCAAGTAAGAGTGTAATTCATGTTCTTCTCAACTCAGAGTACTTGTTCAATAAACAAGATCACCTGAGGTCTGCCAAAGTAGGCAAGTACTTGCAACCTCCATCCATTATTTTACTGAAAACTTCCAGAATTCCAAATTTTCTAAGTTTTGTAATGTGCAAAGAGAACACATTCAATTTGCTTGACTGGTATATAGATAATAGATAATACGTAACTCTTCCCTGAGACACTGTTCAGTTTTTGGCTTTAGGTATGGTTTGGGGAAAATATTTGATATGGTAGACTTTCTCCTTTATGGAAGTCTCAAGGAGATACAGTGTCATCAGTATTAAATATGAATGAGCTTTAATTAAAAGAGATTTTTCATTTTTTGTTTGTGTGTTTGTTTTAAAGCTTGAAAAGGTATTTCCTACTGTGTTTTGTAGATCTTGGATTACTGGGGTCCGAGCAAGAAACTGCTTGGTGACATGAATTTCTTAAAGGATTTGAAAGAATATGACAAGGACAATATTCCAGTAAGACTTCTGTCTAATTTTTGAGTGATTTTTACCATGTAGACACTTTATTTCAGGAAAAAAAAAAAAGAAAATACTGTATCAGAGGCCCCATTTGTCCCAAGTTAGTTAACTTCTGTTGTGACCCAAGGATCTTTACAGTTTGATAGGGTATCTCTATAGGATGTGCATGGTCGTGGCAAGTGGGTCAATATTACTCAGTGAGCCTTGTCAGTGGCCTTTCAGAAGGTTTTAGTATTGCCTCTGGGAATTTCTAAGGCTTCTATACAGCCTGTCTTTTATTTGAATGAAACATCCTTCTGTGCACAAATGTTTCTAACTGTGCAATTTATAGGTAGTATCTCATCAAAAGCTAAAAACAGCACATAAAAAAACTGGTACGAAAGTAAATAGTCTGTCCTATCCATTATCCTGTGTCAAAATTGCCATAATCTGGTGCCTTGGAAGGGGCAGGAACAGTATATGTGATAATTGCTTCAAATATTCTTCCAGACTCTGGCACTTTAAATGAAGGACTTACAAAGCTAGATGTAGTTTCTTTGTGTTTAGTAGCTTTCATGGATCTCTCTTCTGTCATTTTTCTAGTGCCCTGAAGGCCCATATAAACTTTCTGTATCTACAAGATCTTTTTACAAAGCATTCCAGAAGTCTGCTTTAAATAGTATGACGAGTTACCTCCTTCTGCTTCTTCTGAACCTGGGTCCTTATAGCCTCATTTCATGTATTCTGTTTGGGTTTTGGTTGGGGTTTTTTTGTAGAACCAAGGAACATTTGATCCCTATCCAGCCTTTCTGTGCCTTTTTTTTATACTAGTTTTTCTAAATCAGTTACTCTGGCATTATAAACTTTTCTCTATTTTTAAATAACTGTGCACATTCATGCTCTTCTTAATGACTGTTTCTAATTGTATTATTTTGATTGAATGAATGCTGACAAAATGGGTGATACTTTGTTAAGTATACTAGAAGATACATAATCAATGCAGAAATGTACGACCATCTCCTCTAAAGATCTTGCTATCCGAGAGTATGATTCTTGCTATTTGCCCAGTTCAGTGGAAATTAAATATGCTTTGCCCTTTATGAAACTGGTCCCCAAAAGTAGGCACAAGCAATGTAGTTCATTTAGATTTTGTCTTACATTAGTAGAAGTACATTTTTATAATGATTCCTAACAGTTGTATCTTGAGAAAAGATAGTGAATAATGACATTAGCATGTTTTGCACAAGGGACGGTATAAATTAAGGCCGCTAGGTGACTGTAATGCTCTTAGCACTTAGGTAGCTGCCACAAGGAAGACATAACAAATGCATGCTTATAAAGGATAAGGATAGGATTAGAATGAAAGGAGGAAAACACCACAAAATGTGATAGGAATATCGAAAGAAACAAATGAGCAGTGGTTTCTACCACAGTTAATATTGAATAGCTCTTTCCTGTTTCGTTGTGTAGAGAAATGGCAATCAATCAGTGTAATTTTAAAGTATCAGCCACAAGACTTTGGTGAGCTTATAATGCTTTTGTTATCCAGGCAGCTGTCATGCAGAAGATTCGTGCTGAATACTTGACTAATCCTGAGTTTGATCCACAAAAGGTGGCTAAAGCTTCCTCGGCAGCAGAGGGTTTATGTAAATGGATTACGGCAATGGAGGTGTATGACAGGGTTGCAAAGGTGCGTTTTTGATCCTAGTCCCTCAGTGCTATGAAATATTTCCTTTGCTTGGTATATTCACCCTAAACATTCTATTAAATAATAGTTACAAAAATATGCTTTAAGCATTTGTGTATTGTTTGTAATTATATAGGTGGTTGCACCCAAGAAAGATCGTTTAAGAGAGGCACAGCAGTCCTTAGCAGAGACGCTGACACTCTTGAATCAGAAGAGAGAAGAACTTGCAGCAGTTGAAAATCATTTGGCTGGTTTGGAACGAACCTTCACTGAGAAAACTGAAGAAAAGGCTCGTTTAGAATACCAGGTTGATCTGTGTGCTAAAAAACTAGAACGAGCAGAGAAGTTGATTGGAGGCCTTGGTGGAGAGAAATCAAGGTCAGGTTAAAGTTAAAATGTCAGATATAACAGCCAGTGTAGATACAGAATTTGAACTTCAGTTCTCTGAGCCTTTAATGCTGTATCTCTGTCTGAGGGCTGTACTGCTGAGGAGTGGAACAGTCTGGGCACTTGAAAGATTCCTAACTGTTTGTAATGTAAAAATATAGGCAGGAACATTGGGAAAATTGTAGAGAAAGTCTTCAAAATGAGAATAAAATAAACACAGTGTCCTTATTCTCCACCTGGTTAAGATAAACAACAACAACAACAAAGGTTGGTTTTTTTCATCATTATCATTAATGTGGACGTTTCAGCATCATTTTTTTCTGTATTTTCTGCTTGTCATAGATGGAATAATGCTGCAAATGATCTTCAAGACACATATGATAATTTGACAGGAGATGTTCTGTTATCAGCTGGTGTGATAGCATATCTGGGAGCTTTTACTGCTGGATTTCGACAAGAATGTACCAAAGATTGGAGCAAATTGTGCAAGGTTAGAAGCATGTCTTAGATTTAAAGAAGTGTTTGCTTTTTTCAGACTACTGCAAAAGGCCTCAAAAATCACATGTCATTTATTTAATATTAGCCTAGTAAAATGTAAGATCAATGGGATAAACTCTACTGATCCAATATTCTGTAAATTTGAATTTCATTAAATCAGTGAATTTACTCTAGACTTAAAGTAGCATATCAGAAATGAGAGCACATCAGTGACTTTGTAAGGCTTGATTATTACTTAAATGAAATATCAGAATTTTCTCTTTCTGCCTTTAAATAGAAGAAGTAACTTTAAAATGCAGTTATGTGTGATGTAAAAAATTTCTGTAATAACCTACATTGGCACATATTTATATGTTAATTAAATGGTTCATTCTGCTGTTTGCAAAGGGACAGTTCCAACATACTTTACTAACACCATAATTCATAAATCAAGTGATTTGAAGTCACTGATTGTGACTGTGATATTAAACAGTAACAAATCAACGTTGGATTACTGTCAGTGGAAAATACTAGCCATTAGATGATTTCCAATTGTGTGTGAGTTTCTTAAGGTAATGCATTGTCATAACTTTATGTAACAAAGCCCTCATATTTAGAATGTACAAAAAACTAGGCAAATTCTACAGAATTTGGAGAGTAAATGTTCAATGGGGAAATATAGTTAGCTATTGAAACTATGATTTTATTTTTCCCAGGATTTTTACTTATACTTGATCTATTTCAAACTCATAAAAGGAAATGCACATATTCACTTTGGAATGAAGTGACACTTAATAAAAGCCGTAAAGAAATGTGGAATAAAGATAATTGGGGTTTTCTTTTCTTCTTTTTCTCAGGAGAAAAATATCCCTTGTTCTGAGAATTTCTCTTTGAGTAAGACTCTTGGTGACCCAATAAAAATAAGAGCTTGGAATATTGCTGGTTTGCCAACTGACATGTTTTCCATAGACAATGGGGTCATTGTTGACAATTCAGGACGTTGGTAGGTGACAAAAAGGTTTAATTTTCAAATCCAAACAAGTTTTCACTTTTTAAGAAAAAGCAAACTAAATGTCTAGAGAAAATGTAGCTTCTGTAGAGACACTGTAATTGAAAGCAGGAGTGGAATCTTTATATCCAGCTCCTGTGAAATTTAAGAGGTAGAACACTTCAGAGATTTGTGTATGTAGTTACACGAAAGCTTTCCTTTCAGGAGATGCAGTGCTCTTGGATAAAGTTATTTTTTCTTTTTCTGCGCCCCCCTCGGTTGGTTGGTTGGTTGATTTTAATATTGTACCTTGTTGTGGTATTACTAGCTAATAAAGCATTTCTAAAAATTTTAGAACTGCACAGAAAACCTCATGCTTTAGATGTTTAATGATAAGATTCAGGTTATGTAAATTGCAAGGTCCAGATATACCACAATCAACTTCAGGTTCTTACAGTTATAAGGCTATGAGATGACATTTTTATATTTTATAGATATTTATTGTGTGTGAAACTCACATCTATATAGAGGATTCTTTTAAGGCCTTTAGCAACTTTTTTTTGTTTGTTTATTCCAACTGAAGTTTTATTTCAAGGATGATAACTATTACATGGAAACTTGTGATAGCCATCTGAAAATAATCTGCACTCAGTAGAAACAGTAGATTATAAAACTTTCTAGTGATGTTCTTGTGATCTGTGTTCTCTTAAGAATTAGTCTTCATGATAGATTCAGATTATATTCAGTTTGCAGTGTGTAATTCCAGTTTTAGAATGTTGCTTACTTCTCTGAGGGTGCAGTTAGAGGAGCTGTTTGATATCATTCATCCCTGACTTATTAAAATACATACATATAGATGAAATCAACAAGTACAAAGGGTGACAAATCTGTTGAACAAAATTAAAATATTGTCACCTTTCCCTGCCCTGCTTACTTTTCCAGTCTTATACTAGCTGCTATACCAACATATCAGACTTAAATTGCAACTAATTGTTGATTTTTATTTTTTTAAGTGAAAAAATATGAGAGAAAGAACTCAAAATTTGTAAAAATAAATAAATTCTCAATACTGAGAATTCCAGGGGAGAGGCAGAACAAGATTTTACAAGAACTCTGCATTCTGCTGTATTTTATGAAAAATGTTATGAACATTTTTTGCAACTCTTAAAACTATTTTTATTATTACTTTTCAAATTATGGTAAAACACCTATACCTCCATTTTTCACTGATCTCTTAAAATAACAGAATCAAAGCTGTATCACTTTTTCCTTGACAGTCTGACACAGAAACATTAAACTTTTGAAAAACTCCTGCAAGTACTGAGAAAACTGTCTTGTATGTTGTAGGCCATTAATTATTGATCCTCAAGGTCAAGCAAATAAATGGATCAAGAATTATGAGAAGGAAAACCGCCTCAGTGTTATCAAGTTCAGTGACACAGATTATATGAGAACCCTGGAGAACTGCATTCAGTCTGGAACTCCACTGCTACTAGAAAATGTTGGAGAAGAACTAGACCCATCGCTTGAACCTTTACTACTTAAACAGACTTTTAAGCAAGGTACATAAAAATTAATTTTGAACTCTGAAGTAATGTTAATCTTATAGTCTATGGTACTGTCTGATGTTTCTCCTACTGCCCTCTGGCTTACTGCTGCCTGTGGTAAGAGGAAGGTAACTTCACAACAGCCTAAAGTTTTATTTTGTTTTTTAATAAATATCATTTATGTATTATGACAGTGATTTTACGTGAAAACCTTCACCAGGCCACTAAAGGAGACTAAATGAAGACACTTGACTCTGCAAAGGGAAGATTCTCAATGAAATTGTTTTGCTTGCTCAATTTTGTATGTTTTAGTCTAATACTAATATTTACTAAATTTAGCACAAATTGAGAAAAGCTGTCAATGCATTTTGCTTGAGGCACAATTTTCTTGTGTTTCTCTGAAACTTACTGAGTAGCTATAAATTTTGTTTGCAACTTTTCTTTCTTTTCCTGCTGGATAAAGACAGAAAAATGCAGATAAACACAAATATGTTTTCCGTCTTTCTTACAGAGTTTATCTTTACTGGCTTTCACATTCATACTAAAAAAAAAAAAAAACTAGAACATTTTTTTTTACTTTTTTTATTGAGTTTCCTATTTCAGACAGATAATTCAAGGAAAGACTAGTCTGTAAGAATGTCATATTTGAGAAAAATTCCACAGCACTCTAGTACCATCTCCAGTATTGTATATGCACATTGAAAGCACGATAGTAATTGAATTGACTCGATTTCATCTACTAAAAGTAAAAGGTGGCCTCACTGAAATCTCTGAGAATTTTTCGGAGTATAGGATTTGTTTGTTTGTTTGTTTGTTTGTACTTTTCAGGAAATTTGTCAGTGACAAGAAATTTGCTTTTATATAAACACGTGGTGGTTTTTTTCTGTAAGTAATTGAAGTAGACAATGGTTTTCTAACATTTCTCATCTTAACTTTAGGAGGCATGGAGTGTATCAGGCTGGGTGAGACCATTATTGAGTATTCCAGTGATTTCAAGTTTTTTATTACCACAAAACTGAGAAATCCACATTATATGCCTGAACTTGCTACAAAAGTTTCTTTACTCAATTTTATGATAACACCAGAGGGACTTGAAGACCAATTGCTAGGTATTGTTGTAGCAAAAGAGAGGTAAGTCTCTCATTATGGAAATAACCATTTAAATTTTTTTGTGGTGCAATTCCAAGAAAATCAGAGATTAATTTATTGTAACACAAAATTAATGTTACATGGTGTAAATGTTGCTTAGTAACAGCTTTAAAAAAAGAAAAGGCATTTTTCTAATTGTCATATCTAAAAAGTTTGTTAGGGAAACTGATTGTCACATTTACTGTGGGGTAAGTGTCCACAAGTTAATTAAAATAGCAGGTGTAAAATCATTGTTTTTTCATGGCAGTTTTCTCCTGAAATATTCTTTGGATGTTAGAAAACTATGTAATATTATTTAAAGTTTAAATCATTGTGATTTCTGCAATTTGACTGAGCTGCCAGACAAGGGTGCAGAATTATGAGGATTTCGTTTTAACTTTTTGTGAAATAAATGCACAGTACCTCTGAAACTGATTATGGGTCTTATCTGAACACTCACAGAAATACAGAGAAATAGTGTCTGGCTTGTACGGAAACATTTGTACAATTGGACTAAGTTCTGTTTGCTAAAAAAATGCATTTCCAGCAGTAAACTTATTCCACATATTACATGGTGTTTTGTCAGGCAGCAGAGATATAGCAAAGGAAAACTAGGATGTGCTGACATGCAAAGATGTCAAATTTTAGACCCTCATTTCCAAATACTGAACCGAGATTATGCAAGGAAATCTATACTCTGAATTATAAATATATGATGAACAGCAACAACCAATTTAAACTGAAGAGAACATTCACAAATATTTCTTATAGGAAGAGGGAGTCATCTTCATAGGCTTCCTTTACAGTCAGTGGAAGATGAACATTGACTATTTTTGTTGTATGTGCGTTTTTTTTCATTAGACCAGAATTAGAAGAGGAAAGAAATGCTCTCATCCTTCAATCTGCAGCCAATAAAAAGCATCTAAAAGAAATTGAGAAGAAAATTTTGGAAACCTTGCATTCATCTGAAGGGAATATTCTGGAAGACGAGACTGCTATCAACGTTTTGGATTCTGCTAAAATAATGGCTAATGAGATCACGAAAAAACAGCAGGTGAGGAGTGTGTATGTATGTTTTCCTTAACCATACTTAGAAATTAAATGTTAAAATTGACAGCTAGCAGAAGGAGTGCAAATTAAATGCCTAGCACAAGGAGGAAATTCTGTGCTTGTGAAATGTGAAGAGAAATAAAATTGGATCTGTTCTGGAATCTTCACTGATGGTTTATTCAGTTTTTAATTAAAAATATTTTAAAGAGTATGTATCTGTCTGTAAGGACTGAGTGAGAAGTCAGAAATTATGAAGTTAAGGTAACAGGTTAAGATAAATGAAGGAATTAATTTTTAAAATGATAAAAGTATTCAGGGAGACATTAGTAATGTGGGTGACCAATATAGGTATGCACGCCGAGATTCTTTGTTGTACTTAGTGCGTAAAATACCAGCTGAAGTCAATGAGAGCTAAATAACACTGGTGAGAGAATAAAGATGGTTTTGGTTTTGTTTTTTTTTTTTACTATAGATTTAACAGAAATGAGTACTGGTGTTTTCTTTAAGCTGATGTTGGTCTTCCTGCTATTTGTTAATGCCTGTCAAATGTAATCTCAGAATATGTCTGATGGTCAAATTTTGAAAAACCTTTTTATATTCAAAGCATTGTTTTGTATAAAGCTGATTTACAGTAGAATAACGAGAGCTTAAATACATAACCAGTCTGAAATTACCCATATTTTTTAATATTGTGGAGATACAGATTGGTACTTTTGACAGTAAATGATGTATTGAAACTGTTGTACCTCCTTTGTCCTTTGTTTTGACTCTTACATCCTGTAGCACAGGTAAAGAAGTCGGTCAGGACTATGTTAAGGGCAAGTACTCTTTTTACCTACTATAGTTATCGCCTGCTGTGAGCATTTTGGAACATAAAAGATGTCTTACTCTGGAGTTACAAAGTGAAGTATTTTAACAATGCTGTCAAGTAGTAATATTTTTGTACAAAAGAGAATATTGAAAAATTTTCTTTGTCAACTACTATTCATATTTAGATTGCAGAGAAAACAGAACTTAAAATAGCCGAATCTCGAGAACGTTATCGACCTATTGTAAAGCATTCATCGGTGCTGTTCTTCAGTGTTGCAGACTTGGCAAACATTGATCCCATGTACCAATACTCCCTTAGCTGGTTTGTTAAGCTCTTCATCAACTCTATTCATGATAGGTAAATACAGTCGTTCTGGTGTAAAATAAGGTGTTTTAGTGCCCTCATCTATTGACAAATTAATTTCAGCTCACTATTTTGCTTGGGACTTCTAAAAGAGCTGTAAAGCATTGAGTATAGTTGAAATTTGGGGGAAATGGGCATCTACGTCTGTTGTGGAGTATGTGGGCCTAATATAATACCTCTACAACCCTGAATAGATTTAGATTTCGTAACTGATTTGCCTATTATTCAATTTGAAGTCTCAGTTTCTCACTTCTTTTCTTTTTAGTAACAAATCCAAAGTTTTGGAGAAGCGAGTTCAATATCTAAATTACCACTTTACATACAATTTGTATTGCAATGTGTGTCGTTCACTGTTTGAAAAGGACAAGCTGCTCTTCTCGTTTTTGCTGTGTTGTAATCTTCTCATGTAAGCACATTTTTGTGAAGTCTCTTAATAACAGAAACGAATTATTTTCTTGTAATGGAAAAAGATATTGATAAGATAACATGTTCTTGTGCGTATTGATAATATAGCCTTTGGGTTTTTGAATACTGATGATACCTACAAGTGGAATAGTATGTGAGTATGTATCACTACTGTGTATAACCTTTGGATGTTGTGAAAAAAGGGTTCCTGTGCTTATTAAAATAAATGGTTTTGTCAATGATACATCTTTGACTCCCTCTAAAGGACCTGAGTAGTGGTACATAGCATGCTATGTCAAGAATGATTGCTGTTATTAAATAGTGTTTTAGAAAGAAATCTAAGACAGTAATGTGCCATTCCAGCAACTTCTAGGCTTTTGTCTTTGTCATTTTCTCTCTTCTCTCTCTTTTATCCTTTTGCATACATCATGAGATCTCGGTTGCAGTCTTTTCTCTTCCACTGGTTTTTAAGTTTCATGTTCCCTTTTTGTTGTAATTTTGTGTGAGTACATTGTGAAAGGGAAGATAAGTTCAAAATTGCACGATCATTAATGTGCATACTTGCTTAATTACAATGTGTACACCTCTGTATATCGACCATTCTTCCTGGTCCAATTTGTAAGGTTACTGTATTACCAGAACCCAGTATTTTCTAGAAAGCCTTTAAAAATCAGGAATAATTGCACTTCCTAACAAATAAGCAGCTATATAACATTTACATCTTGAAATCCTTACTGTAGTCGTAATCAGTCGTTTTTACTGTATGGTTTTTAGCTGTATAGAATACTGAGATCTATTCTCAGCTGTTACTGCAGTAGAACTATTACTAAATGGCAGTGAAGTATAATTAAACAACTCTTTATATTGTATAAAATTCTATCTCAATACTGAATATTATTCATCTTTTTTTTTAATATAGGGCTAAAAATGAAATAGAATATCAAGAGTTTATGTTCTTACTAACTGGGGGTGTGGGTCTCAAGAATAAGTACAAGAATCCAGATCCATCTTGGCTACCAGATAAGAGCTGGGATGAATTATGCCGTGCAAGTGAAATCCCGGCTTTGAAAGGACTGAGGTACAGTAAAATGTTGATGTGAATTATCCTGAATTGTTTAGAACCAAAGCACGTGTAACATGATGAAGGAAATGTGTCCTATACGTTTTCCAGCCAGTGCTGGAATGCCAAAATGGTAAAACCATCTCCTTTTTTCATCATTAGGTTTGCTTCACATAAGTCAAACAGTCAGTTGGCTAATTATAATATTATTTAGTTAACTATTTTCCTAAATTTTTTCACACGTTCCCTAAAGGAACGTTTCTTTTGGAATGTCTCCATGGTGGAGAAACAGTGTTTCAAGGAGGTCAATGGAGGCCAAAAGAAGTACATATAGCAAAATTCCACTGCAGTGCTAGGGGAGGAATATTTCTGTAAAATCTAATCTCCTGCAATCAGGAGAATTTCACCTTGGATTTAAATAGAATTTAACCCTAAATTCTGAAGCCAGCATGGCTATACAAGTGTTACGTATAAATAGCTGACAGGGCCCAAATATCTGGAGGATTTGGATCTGACTGCAGAAACACTGCTCTGTTAGAAGAAATTGTTTGAGGCTGTTTTGTGTTTCTCCCCCTTTGGAGTTTTAGTAGCAATGTGGATGATGATGCAGCCTTCAAATAGCCTGAGAGTTGTCGCATTGCAGAGGACAGTTTTTCTCAGGTTGTATTTCCTGGTAATTTTCTTCAGTTAAACAGTGGAGTTTTCCTATAACAGGAGAGGCAGAAAATTCCCCAAACCTATGAAGGTCCATAGGCAGTGCTGGCTGGAGGAATAGGCAGAAAATATTGTCAACTCAAAACCTTTCAGGTGGAGTCTTGTATGTCTGTGATAGCACGGTGGGAAAAGATTTTTCACTCTTCAGCATGGAGAAGCTCAACTGTAGGAATACTTGCTGGTGTAGAAAATAGGCTTTTGATAAACATAGAAAACCAGACTCTACATATTTACGGTAATTGTAAGTGCTTTTTTTTCTCCAGGAGTCACATCTCTGAAAATACAGGCGAATGGCAAAAAATTTATGACATCAAAGAGCCACAAAGCTTTCAATTACCGGAACAATTTAATAATACATTAAATGAGTTACAAAAAATGATAATTCTTCGGTGCTTAAGACCAGACAAGGTAAAATGATCTGTTATCAAATGTTTGTAGACTCTTCCATGTCTTGTAGCATTGTTTGCACTGGTTGTTAAAAGAACTAATCTGTTCTTCATCATATTTTATTAAGAAAATAAATGCTATTCCTATTTTTCAATTGAGCAATACAAATACCACAAACATCAGCTGAAATCTTTTGTCTGATGAGATTTAATGCATACTCATTGTTTTAGTTTTCTTCAGGTCCTTGTTCATGTTTAGTCTGTTACACTCAAGAGCAGGATATATTAGCCTGAACAAATACACAAATATCCAGTACCACATGCTTTCATACAAAGGGTTCCAAGGCAAAGAGAGATCAAATGTGTTTATCTGAACAGCCAAGGTGAACTTTCAACGTGTTCTGCCTTTGGTGCACTGAGCAAATTGTATCGTATGTACCTTAGGAACAATCAATATTAGGATTTAAAGTACATATTGCAATTGCTCCTTAGCATGAAATGAAAATGATTGCATGAACTAAGGGGGAATGTGCTGGTCCTCCACATCAGGTAAAGCCTGAATTAAAGTCTTAATGTAATTGAATATAGTTTATGTGCGGTAAGTTATTTTTTATTTTCTAAAAGCAGTATTATTCCTTTTGTAAGGGGAAAGAAAAAAGGGTGTGGGGTGTCAACAACAGGTGAAACCTTTGCTTCTGAAGAGTTCTGCAAGGCTAGCCTCAAATCTCTGCAAAGCAGAGAGGTTCCTGTAGGCTCAGGAATTTAACTAATATATGATACATAAAAGATGCTGTCAAATATGCAGTTATGTTTGATTTATGTTAATGGTTTATATTTACTTTTTGCCAGATTGGTCCAGCTATAACAGCATTTGTAACTGATAAACTTGGGAAGAAATTTGTAGAGCCACCACCTTTTGATCTAACAAAAAGTTACTTAGATTCAAATTCTACAATCCCTTTAATATTTGTCCTATCTCCAGGAGCAGATCCCATGTCTAGTAAGTATACACAGAAAGAAAAATAAAAGCATAGTACGGGTTTTCAGATTAGGGACCTGAATTTCCCCTTCAATACACATTTTATTTTGCACTTTTTGCAAGTAGATTTGGATGCATTGTGTCACGCTGGTAAAATTCTGTGCTCCCTAAAAATGAGAATGGTGTTTTAAACTGAATAAATTTTACACTCTACATCAAAGCTATACTATCTTATCGTATGTACATTTTAACAGAATAGTAATAAACATTTTAAAATATTTTTTTTCCTGACTGCTGTGGTTTAACCTGGCATGCAGCTGAAACAACCACACAGCCATTCACTTACCGCCCCCTCCATGGGGAGAGAATCAAGGGGGAGAAAAAACCCAAACAAACTCATAGGTTGAGATAAAGACAGTTTAATAGACAAAAAAGAAGATAATAATGGTAAAAGAATATACAAAACAAGTGATGCACGGCACAATTGCTCACCAACTGCTGACTGATGCGCAATTAGTTCTCAAGCCGTGGCACCCTCCAGCCAACTCCCCCATTTTATATACCATGCATGACGTTATATGGTATAGAATATCGCTTTGGCCAGTTTGGGTGAACTGTCCTAGCTGTGTACCCTCCCAGCTTCCCATGCACCCCCCCGTCTTCTCGCTAACAGGCCAGCATGAGAATCTGAAAAGTCCTTGACTGCTTAGCAACTAGTAACTTCAGTGTGTTATCAACATTATTCTCACACTAAATCCAAACCACAGCACTATACCAACTACTAGGGAGAAAACTAACTCTATCTCAGCCGAAAACAGGACACTGACATAACTTCTTTTTAATGAAGAAATGCTAAAATCTTATGCTTTCTGTTCAAGGCCTCCTGAAATTTGCAAATGACAGAGGGATGGTTGGAGAGAAGTTCCAGTCCATCTCCTTAGGACAAGGACAAGGACCTATAGCTACAAAAATGATTCAAAAGGGAATGGAAGAAGGAACCTGGGTTTGTTTACAAAATTGTCATTTAGCTGTCTCCTGGATGCCGATGCTGGAGAAAATATGTGAAGAGTTTAACAATGAAAAATGCCATCCAGCCTTCAGACTTTGGCTTACTAGTTACCCTTCACCAAAGGTACATGCATTGCCAAATATTCCGTATTTGGGGAAAGGAAAAGGTGATGATGTTTTTAGGAAATATTCATATCCCTGAATGAGCTGATAATACAGAACGTCTCTGCAATACAATGAGGCTGTTGAAGAGATAATATAAGTACGAAAGGACATTTAAAAAATTATTTATAAACATAGTAGTACCAAGCTTCCTTTCTAATATTTTGATATTGTGATGTGTGATATTTTGTGTACTAGTGAATGGAACTGCATTTTGGCAGCATATATAATTAAGAAGTTTTTATGCTGTCAACGAGGTTTTGTTTCACATAAATTCAAATATTTATTTTTAAATTTTGTAAGGTGTTGAATACAAAGAAAACATTTTAAAATACAGGTTTGTTTATAGCAAAGTCTTACTTTGTTGATGCCTTTGAGAATTTTTTTAAAAGTTGTTGATGTTTAAAATGTAATTTCTTATAGAGAATTGTTTATTTAACAAACACAGAGTAATAATATATTACTAGAACAATATAGCATCTGTTCCCCACTTTCTGAATGCAGCTTTGCTATTGTTTATTTCTAGTTTCCAGTAACCATTCTGCAGAATGGAGTGAAGATGACACATGAACCTCCTACTGGTCTCCGGTTAAACCTTCTGCAGTCATTTCTTTCTGATCCTATTTCTGATCCTGCATTTTTCTCTGGATGCCCTGAAAAGGAGTTGGTAATGTGCCTATCTCTTAACAATTTTATTCTTTCTTTTTTTTTTTTACCCAGATACACTGATTTCTGTTCAGTGAATATTATGTTAAAATTTGTACTATGGTTGTGAGTTTAGGTTTTGCAATGATAAAGATGATTAGTTGAGAATTACTCTACCAGGTAATTTCACGTGGCAATATTTCAAATGGTTACTTAGGCTGTATTGAATTACATCCATATTACACACATATATTACACAATGTACATAAACTCTGACCATTCATTGGTAGGGCATACCTATCATTACTGAGATGGTAAGCATTGAGAAGATCTATTCTTGCTACCAGGGACCAGTACTGCAGTGTCCATATGTCTTACTGATAAATGATGAACCACTTAGCTAATCATTACCTGTGAAGGAACTGAAAAAATAATTACTCAGAGATACGAGTATGGTAATCAGTATGCATAGGTATAAGTTGGCTGCACCTAAGGACCTATATGAAACAATACATCTGTATTTTATGTTTGTCTGATGAGCCTTAAAAATAAATATCTGGTGCTATTTGAATTCGTACGAAGTCAGCTGCCCTTTACATGGAGGAAGAGAAAAATCTTGTGTAGCTGTACTTGAGGAACTAGCTAAATGTGCTTGCGTATGTGGCAACTATGTGTATATTTGTTCACAGGTCAAGTAACCACAGCATACTTAGTAGTTGATTGTATTTGTACCCTAGATGGAGAGTGGTATTCAAATGGTGTGTTCTCTAAAGTTACAGACTGCATGAGCATATAGGCTAGGTAATAATACTTTTTTGTTTTGTTTTTCTCAAAGGTATGGGAGAAACTGCTGTTTGGAGTTTGTTTTTTTCATGCTCTTGTTCAGGAGAGAAGAAAATTTGGTCCTCTTGGTTGGAATATACCCTATGGATTTAATGAATCAGACTTGCAGATCAGTATCAGACAGCTGCAGGTACAATTATCTATTGCTACCTTTAGCTCTGATCTTGTGAAGCGTAGGAATGAGCTGATAGTCAAAAAGGAGCAATAAACTTACAAACAAATGTTCATAGAGTTTCATCAGTTCAGCTCCAAAGGCAAGGAATGTCAATCATATTATCAATATTTTCAGAATTACAAATGAAATAAAATTAAAAATTGTTCTTCACGAGATTTAGATTCCTACAGAGGTGGAATATAATGAGTATATGTGAATGTAGTAACAGTTAAAATTGTTATATATGAGCTCACTGTGCTTTAAGTAACATCATGTCAGTGACAGTCGCCTATTATGATGGGTTTTGTGGTTAGCTGGAGGAACTTTTTTTTACATATATGCTGTTAGTTAAACAGAGCTTCAGACTATTCTCCTTTCCTGAAATGAAATGCTGAACACAACCTTGAGTCTTCTGCAGGCCCTGAGCAGATAAGTCAGTAGAGCTAAAGCTATGGATTACGTAAGTTCAGGCTGAACAGTTGGAAGTTATCAAGAAGTTAATGAAAGAGATCAGAGGGTTCTGAAGACTGGAAGAAAAATTACATGAAATGCGTGGTTTTTTATGACACAGAAAAAAGTCCATCTAGAAAGTTTAGACTGGAAAAACTATCCACTTGTGAATAATTCAAGAAGGACTTGGATAACTTACTAATTTGGATGTTCATGAGGGGCTTTTACTACTATGTCCTCTTTAATTTAAACAGTAATTTTACAAAAAAAAAAGATTTCAGAATTTGAATTTCCAGCGCTTAGGGGGAAAACTCCATAGACTGCAGTTTTACATGTACTGTAGCTTCCAACCCTTTAGTCTGTAGGTCACACTGTTCTGCAGATATTTCAATTCTCTGGAATTACTTGTGTCTTCTGTTTCAGTTATTCATAAATGAATATAGCCATGTTCCTTTTGAAGCTGTATCTTACCTAACTGGTGAGTGCAACTATGGAGGTCGAGTGACAGACGACTGGGACAGACGTTTACTGCTGACAATGCTGGATGACTTCTATAATCCAGATATAATTGAAAATCCTCGTTACACTTTTTGTCCCAGTGGAAAATATTATGCTCCACCAAAAGGCACATATGAGGACTACATTGAGTTTATTAAGGTAAGAAGTAGCAGCAAGATTTTAAGCTGTTATAAAGGCTTCTTTGTGTTGCAAAGGTAGTTCTGCAGCACATTAATCAGTGTGCTTGGCTTCTTGCCTAACATCCTTGTATGATCCTTGCCATGATCTGTAATGTTTCCGAGAGAGAGGGGGAATCAGTAAGTAGACAGGAGGACCTAGCCTAGATAATCAAGAATTCCTTTTAAATGGCTTGCTGTAAGTGAGGTGATGGCTCTATCACCAGTAATACAGTCTGCAAATACCTAACATATTAAGGTCCTTGTCCACCTTCAGCTGAAGTCAGTGGTAGTTTTTCACTCGGCTGCTTAAAGAAGACTAGAATTTAAATCCTAGCATGCTGCTTTATCTCATGCAGATATTTATTGTTTTGTCTTAGAGTCTTCCCCTTAGTCAGCAACCAGAGGTATTTGGTTTGCATGAAAATGTGGATATTTCAAAAGATCTTCAGCAAACTAAGATCCTCTTTGAATCTCTGCTTTTAACACAAGGAGGAGGCACTCAGGGAACTTCTGGAGATGGTGACAGCACTCTTTATGAAATTGCAGATGATATTCTCAGCAAGGTATTGTGTTATACCGGTGACTACAATTTATCTTTTTACAAAGCAGCAATTCTTTGACCAGAATCTTCCATGTCAGATTGATTTTGTGTTGGAGGAAAAATCTCCTGGGAGGAATTTAGTGCAATATGAAAGTAATAAATAGGTAGGAGATACGAGACAGAGAGAGAAAACAGAACAAACACAACTTGGAAGAACAGTTAATTCATTCATGTGAACAAGTTTAAAATCAATAAGATTGAAAAGTATTCATAACTTTACATGGTATGAAAAATTCTAGGTGGTTTTTAAAAGAGAAGCATCACTTTTAAAAAGCCATAATTTTTACTTGGATTAAACTACTAAATACTGTATTGATAAGGTACTCTTCAGAAAGTTTAGCGGTGTCTATTACTCTACAATTTTTCACATCCGCATACTTCTAATATAATACCGATGCATAATAATATATGGAATTATTTCTGAATACGTTGTCATTTACAGCTTCCAAATGATTTTGACATTGAAGGTTGTCTAAGTAAATACCCGGTGAGATATGAAGAAAGTATGAACACTGTTTTGGTGCAAGAAATGAAAAGATTTAACAGGTAAGAGTTTTGTATTTCATTAAATGTAAAAAAAAAAAAAAAAAAAAAATTCCTGCAAATCCTATACTGTAAACCCTATGTTGTGTGAAACATTTTAGTTATTTGTTTTGTTCCCTTCTAATTTTCTACACTGATATCTGCAGTCCAAGCACCATTACTCCTTCTGGAAAGTCAGAATGTAGGATAGATGTCAGGAAAAATGAACTGAAAGAGAAAAATGCATGATAGAAGAAGGAAGTCTGAGAAGGCACTTGGAAAAGAGAATATGAACAATATTCTTATGTTCCTTTTTTTTTTTTAATTTTGCTTTGTCTTTCACCATCTTTATCTTCAATTATATTTTATTTTCTTTGTATTTCTGACCTGTAGGGTAGAGAGGTTAGAAACTGTAATACAGGCATAGTTATAGTTTATGAAACCTTTTCCCTGATAGTTGGAAATACTTCTGCTTATTTCTTTATTGTCTCATATGCTTCTGTTTTAATTTTTTCCTTTATTTCCCCCTTTCCTGATGCCTTTTTCCCTATACCTTATTTCCACAATTATTCTCCTAGGATTACAAACCTATAATCACTTTTATTTTTCTCTTTGGGTCCCCAGTCTCTCTTTTGACTTTGTTTCCTAATTTTCTTTCTCCATTTGGAGTTCCAAATTTATCCTCTTACCAAACAACACTGAGTATATCAGAGATAACAAAATAATTTATTAAACTGTTCCTAGTCTTAAATAAATCAGCACAAATGCACAAATTCATGACTTCACAGATGTGGCAAATTATGAGGTTATATAGCAGCTATACAAGTTCTATAGATGGTTCCAACATCCAGGTTTTTTCCTTTTTTTCCAATGAGGTGGTTGTGTTTTACAAATCATGCAAAACATTTGAAAGTTTTGTTTTATTTTTTAATTCTAGTTTAATCCAAACTATTCGTGTTACACTAATTAACCTGAAGAAAGCCATTAAAGGTCTGGTTGTAATGGATGCTGAACTGGAGGCTCTGTGTGGCAGTCTGCTTATTGGAAAAGTTCCTGAGAGTTGGGCGAAACGTTCATACCCAAGTCTAAAACCACTAGGGAGCTACATTGTAGATCTTCTAGAAAGGCTGAAATTTTTACAGGTAATGTACAAGAGCCAATACTATCAATTATTTAATCCACTTCGTCATAGAATTTGTCGTTTACGTTCAAGAAGTATTGGCAAAGGAGTGATAGATTTCACTTAGATTTTCTGAGTACAGTTATGTAGACAATGGTCAAACAATAGGGGATTTGTCTCTTTCTGGTTATTGAATGTGTCGTTTTCCTCTTTCCAGGATTGGTATGAATCAGGGAAGCCCACGGTATTTTGGCTGTCGGGATTCTATTTTACTCAAGCTTTTTTAACTGGAGCTATGCAAAACTATGCTAGGAAGCACAGGATCCCTATTGACCTTCTGGAATATGAATTTCAGGTAGAGATAAATCATAAATGCATATTGTGTTAATCTGAGCTCTGTTGTTGTAGTGAGATGTAGTAAGGAAATCCTAACTGGAAGGTTCATTATGCAACTAACTCACTGCAATTTGAAGACATATGTTTAATTCTTTGGTAAGGTAGGCATGTTAAAGAACATCCATAAAAGAGGTATATTAAAAGTAGTTCTATCATTGGGCCTGGACCTCCACTCTATAAAACAGCTTATAGAGTACATATTTGTCTGTGTGATTACAGCCTTATTTTACAACCTGCAATAAAGGTCATGAACCGACCCACAGAAGTCTGCTATCTTTATAGTTTTGTATAAAAGTAGTGCTGAAAGGAAGGTATTACTATATTATTGTCATTTTGGATTGATTTTCTGAAAATTGGCTTTTGTCATAATACCTCAAAAAGCAAACAGCTATGACAGTTTAATAACATGGAACACTTCATTTCTTGTAGGTTATTCCTCAGGATACTGCTGATACTGCACCAGAAGATGGCGTTTATATCCACGGATTATTTTTAGACGGAGCTCGCTGGGACAGGACCAAGTCAGTAACAAAGTGTTTTACTATGGTGCTGGAAAGCTTTCTTAGGTGCTCAGACAAGATTTGTTTAAATATTTTAAGTGATACT